AAGCAGGCTTCCCGCCGAGCAGGGAGCCCGATGCAGGGCTCGATCCCAGGACCCAGGGATCATGACCTGAGCTGAAGGCAGATGCTTAACGACTGAGCCACCCAGGCACCCAGGAATTAATTTCTTAATATGTTGCCTCATTATAAATGTAATTTGAAGCAGATCAATTTCCTTTGCCTTGACCTACAAGAAGTCTACCAAAAAATTTGTAGTTCATGTGAAGAAACTATGTATTAATATTATAACTTAATATCTTTTCTTCGTTTCCTTTCTCCCCATCCTGATTATATATTTTCTTTCATGTACATATTGTATACATAATATTATGTGTATGTATATATAATTCTGTATGTCAATTTTTTAGAAAAAAGATTATAAGAAATGTAAATTCCTTTAAAAAGAATAAGAATGATTAATTAAGAATGATATTAAGATTTGCTTTCTTAGGAATATGTCAGCAATAAAAAGCCAGCACATCTCTCGAAAATCTGCTATTCCTTTAGGCCACTGGTACCATTAAAATAAATGAAAGTAAATAAAACTTCACAGAAAAAAAGCTACCCCACTGTGTTCTAAGGTCTCCTATCCCACTAAAATTCTCTATATGGGAGTTTGATGAATATCTACATTCTTCAATGGAGAATTCAACATTCTTTCCTTTGTACTCCCATGGCATAGCACATTGTACATCATCTGCTGTAACAACTATTATTATATTATAATCATGTTTGTATTTTTTTTTCCTCTACTACTTCTAGAGGTTGGGAACTGGGATCCTATCTTATTCATCTTCATATATCTGGCATCTAGCACAAGGAGAGCCACAGTAGTAGGCAAGAGATTGTTATTAACACCAGTGGACTGACGTTATATATACCAAAGCACAACATAAGAAATGTCAGAGTAGACAAGAAAGACTGGTTCCTAAACAAATCTTCAACTCATCAACATCTTTATAACTACTTCAATCCTAGTTTTCCATCAGCTCTGCCCTCCAAGTTTATTCCTTGTGGAGAGAGACCCTTATGGCCTTAACATGGCCCCACTTACATTCTCTCCTGAAAGGTTAGGCCTTTTACTAATATTTGCTGAATAGATCAATCAAAGGCAATCTCACATAGTAAAGGAGGTCTCAATAGAATAATGTATACTTTAACACGTCTGTGTGTGCGTAATGTGTATGTGTACATACATATGAATATGAAAAATCACAAATTTTTATCATCTGTAAGACAATTAACTCTTTTTATTACCTTCTTTCTCATGTCTCTTACCAGGCCTGACATATCTAAATATTCAAGACACTAGGTATGTGGTAGAGCTCCAAAGTATTTAAGGCATTGAATAGCTCTGATTGGTAGAGGTATCAATTTGCATTAATGTACACTTATTTCAGCTTTAAAAATCTTTCAAAATATGATAAAATATATTAGTATTCCACCTCTTTACTTACTAGTTGTATGACTTTACATTAGTTGCTTAATTGCTGTATCTCAATTTCCCTACCTGTAAAATGAGAATAATAAATAGTCCCTATTTTATGGTACTGTTATGAGGATTAAGATCATTAAAATATGTAAAGCACTTATAAAACTGCCTAAAACACAATAAATACTCCATAAATAATAATTTAATAATATTTATTACAAAAACATTTTCTACTCAAGGTCTATAAAATGTCAATGTTTTCAGAGCAAATATTTTTTGAAAACCGTAATCCAGACTACTTGAGAGTATCATTTAGCCTATTTTTCAGCAAAACAAAGAAAACATTACATTTTTTTGTAATATTAGGCTCAAACACATAAAAATGCCATTTTTATAGGCAATATCCGCAAGTATATAGGGTTAACTTTCACAAAGTATTTTGTTAGAAAAATTAAATACATTTCATTGAATGCATTTAAAATAATTTTAAGCAATGGAACCTCAGCATGAAATTAAGTTTCCAAAAATAATTTTAAAATAATTAAAATATTGTCATCATAAACATCTTCAGGGGTGGCATAGATTGAATATTTGTGTCTTCCCCCAACCCCATTAATATGTTAAGGCCTAATCCCCAGTGCAATGGTGTTTGGGGTGGGACCTTTGGGAGATAATTAGGTCCTGAGGGCTCTGCCCTCATGAATGGGATTACTGCTTTTATAAGAGACTGAGAGAACTCCCTGGCCCCATCCACCAGTAAAGATAGCTGTCAATGAGGAAGTGGGCCTCACTAGACTTCCCAGCCTCTAGAACTGGGAGAAATAAATGTTGTTTATTCATATGATCTTTTGTTATAGCAGTCCAAATGGACTGAGATATGGGATATGAAAGAACCTGACTATACTACTAAAAAGGCAGTAAACACCTTCCTGGTGAAACACTGACACTTTAACCAATAGGGTTCAACTTTTCCACTTTGGTTTTTCTAAATGGAATTTTATATGAAAAGACTAATGCAGCTCCAAAAAAAAATTAGTGACTCCCTTTTCATTTGAAGACAGCCCAAATTATTACTTTCAATCGTAGGATACATTTAAATAGATACTTCCAAAATTCCTGATATTAGAACTTTCATTTCCTTTTTATAGAAGGGAAGAAAAATGCTTAAAGATAGGTGGTTTCCCTGAAAGAGAAAATTAAAAATCCTATTCTCAGATCTGAAAAATATCAATCCCTCAAATGTAGTCATTCGTTACTTTACTCACTCAACCAACATTTATTGAATGCCTCCTGTGTGCTCTGTGCAGTTCTGATACTGAGGTCGGAGGTAAAAGTCATTAGCCCCCCCTCTTTTTTTTAAGATTTTATTTATTTCTTTATTTTAGAGAGACAAAGAGAGAGACATGCAGGTGGGGGAGAGGGAGAGAGAGAATCTCAAGTAGACTCCTGGCTAAATGTAGAGCCCACTGCAGGGATCAATCCCAGGACCTGAGATCATGACTGGAGCCCAAATCAAGAGTGTGGCACCCCTATTTTGTCCTTTTCTTCCAGAACTAAGAATCCTCAGGAGAGACAAATTAAATAGAAAATAATAATAAAATATGATAAAAACTATAAAAGAATCTAGGAAAGGGACTAAGCTCAGATTGTAGGGAATGGAGCATAGTATAATCCAAGAGAGAAAATAGCAGAGTATAAAACGAGGGACATGTGAGGGGCCAAAGCAATCAGGAAAACTTGAAAGACTGAGTTTGGATGGACTGAAGGCGAAGGCATGCAAGCACACACATACTGATTACTGCATGTATTCACTGCATATCTGTAACCTAATCAAGGTAACAGAATAAAGAATACAAAAACAGAAAAAAAGAACAACTTACCATGCTTTCCCCTAGAAATATCCACATACTGGCAAAGTCTCGGATGAGTGATGGTCTTAAGGATTTGAAATCGCCCTAAAATTTTGATGGAATTTGGTGTAAGAGGAAGCCCATTGCTTCCACAAACATCATGTGGCAGAGCCGAGGCAAAGAAGGTAAAGGCACCCATTTCAGCATCCTTCAGGGGAAACATTTCAGAGTCCTCGATCTTCTAAGATAATCTGGAAAAGGAGATAATTTTATGACAGATCAACCAAAAATTAAGCCAGTGTTTTCTAACCTTAAATATGATTAATAATATATAACTTGGAGGAAACTGCCACTCACAACACTTCACAGTAAAAAATATCAAAGTTAAAAAATTCCAAGATAATATCAAAGAGGAAAAACCACCCAATCATAAATTTACATTGTAGTTCTAAATCATAATCAAAGATTTTCAATGGCATAAAAAGGAAAATATAGAACATTCCCTTTTCAATGACACCTGACGGTTTTAATAGCTTAGAGGAAATCTGTTATTGCATATTTATATCAATAAGGATCTTCTGTTTACCTAAAGCTTGAATAGAGAAGAGACCATCAAGACCATCAAGAACTTTTCCTTCTCACAGAGAAAGTCAGGAAAGAGGAAATAAAGATACCAACCATTAACTTTAAATTATCAGGGCCTCTATTTTTTTTTAAAAAGATTTTATTTATTTATTTGACAGAGAGACAGTGAGAGAGGGAACACAAGCAGGGGTAGTAGGAGAGGGAGAAGCAGGCTTCCTGCTGAGCAGGGAGCCCTATGAGACCCTGGGATCACCACCTGAGCTGAAAGGCAGAAGCTTAACGACTGAGCCACCCAGGTGCCCCAGGGCCTCTATTTTGATAGTAGTAAAAATTAAAATAGATAACAGAGGCTTCTATAATATTACTTAATGAATCAATTTTTGTTTTTGTGCTAGGTACTTTACATGTGATCTGTTTTAGTTATCTATTTTTTAAAAGATTTATTTATTTATTTGAGAGAGAGACAGAGACAGAGCAAGAGCACGAATGGGTGGGGGGTGGGAGGAGAAGGGCAGAGGGAGAGGGAAAAGCAGGCTCCCCTGAGCAGGGAGCTGAACAAGGGACTCATTCCCAGGACCCAGGGGATCATGACCTGAGTGGAAGGCAGACGCTTGTCACCCAGGTGCCCCTACATGTGACCTGTTTTAATTCTCTCAACAACCTTCACAGATGTTATTGCCCCTGGTTTATAGATGTTTCATATATATATATCTATAGATATATATCTATAGATATAGATATATATATCTGGAGTGGTCCTATTGACATGGCCTCCAAAGCAAATAATGCCCCAGACGAAGTAACCTGGAGATTAAGGAACTTGGCTCCAAATCAATCTGAATCACATTAAGGTAATCACAACAGAAAAGGTCCTTAGGCAAAAAAAAATCTTTCTCTCACCTAGGTGTCTCACTAAAAAGACATTCCATTGCTCAAGCACTGCATGCTTTCCTTCTCAGCTTTCAAGATAAAAATGTTGGAATTCAAAATAGAATAGACCACTTTTCATATCTGTGCAGAAATCTCATTAAAAACATTAAAAAGAAACATTTTAAAATGTATAAACTCACAATAAGGAAGAGAACAGAAAAGGGCCATGAGCTAAAGAAAGAGTTCAAAAAACTCCAATGTAGCATTTTACATACAAAGAAGTATTGTCATAAGAAGCAAAAGAAAGAAGCTACAACCTATATTACAGTCAAGAGGTATGTTGGGCCTCTTCAGATTCAGAGGCTTCAGATCAGAGAAGCAGAAATAATGGGGAACATAAGTCAGAAGAGGGTTTGAAATGAGAAAGATAATTTAAAGGGCTGAAGAATAAAAGAGTAACTCTGCCACTGGCCTTCCCAATACTGGGTAGTTATCTATCCTCAAAGGAAAAAAAGTTAAATTTCTTCCCTAGAAATTAAATCGTGTGGGAATTACAATAAACAGCTGGTGGCAATGGTGACAAAAGCAAACTGTTCTTAATTCTAGAATTTGTAGGACCCCAGTTAAGATCTATCTACCCAGCCATCCTAAAGCAGAGTACAACAGTCAACAAGCTTATCCATATACACAAAGCTCTCAGACAGACTTCCTTAACTCTGAAATAATGAACTGTCCAGGAATCATCAGATAGTTGAAGAAAGACTACATTATAATGGGCAAAAATAAAATAAACAAATAAAAAAAATCTGCCCTGGAGGCAACTGAAATAACTTATGGAAAAGAAAACAACAAAAACCAAAACTGGCTGAAATATATTTAGAAAATTTTGAGACAATATTACATCAGGAGGTATGGTAAAACATATTTCACAAGAGTAAAAAAGGAATTGCTGATACAGATGAACAACCTCATTAATATCCAAGAAGTTGCTCATTAAAACTACATGAGAATTTATACCTGCAAGATAGTAAAAATAAGAAATTTGATAATATGGGGCGCCTGGGTGGCTCAGTCAAGCCATCTGCCTTCAGCTCAGGTCATGATCCTGGGGTCCTGGGATCAAGCCCCGCATCGGGCTCCCTGCTCGGCGGGAAGCCTGCTTCTCCCTCTCCTGCTCCCCCTGCTTGTGTTCCCTCTCTCGCTGTGTCTCTCTCTGTCAAATAAATAAATAAAATCTTTAAAAAAAAAAAAGAAATTTGATAATACATACTGTTAGGAGGATATGAAGCAGTAGAATGTAAACTAATACAATCACTTTGGAAAACAGTCTGATGCTATTTTGCTATTCCATTCCTGCAGAAACTCCTACACAAATTTAGAAAGGGATACATACGAGAAAGATCAGCATGGTATTGTTCCTGTTATTCACAAACTGGACACTTAAATGTCCAAAGACAGGTGAATGGTTAAGTAAATTGTGGTACATTCACCTGATAGAAGAGTATACATGAAAGAAAATAAGCAAATTGTAGCAACAATTAACAGCATTGATGAATCTAGAAATATAACCTTGAGTAGGAAAAAAACAGCACATAAAATATATGTCAATATTCATAATATTCAACAAGAAAAGCTAAATAATAATTCAGGAATATGTTCATATGAGGTAATATTATATTAAAAAAGTAAAGGAATAGTAATAATAGTAAAACCTGAGGATAGGGTTACCATTGTATGAAAAGCAGGAGTGAGATTAGGGAAGATCCCATAAGAAGCTTCAAAAATCTTGAGTAATACATTAGTTCTTAATAGGTGGGTTAATGGGTGTTCATATTATTATGCTCCATAATTTCTATATTCCATATCTGTATATGTGCATGCTGTAAACCACATATTTCATACTTTTTTAAAATTTTAAGATGAAAAAATTTAAAAATACAATGAATCGATTTTCAAGGCCAAGAAAATCAATAGGGAAAGGACAGTCTTTTTAGCAAGTGGTGCTGGAACAAGATATAAATACAGGAAAAAAAAAACACCTCAATTCCTACCATTACATCCATGAAAATCTGCAATGGATTATAGACCTAAATGTAACATAAGAGAATATCTTTGCAACCTTAGGGTAGGCAAAGATTTCTTAGGCAGGACAAAAAAAAAAAAAGCACTAACCATAAATGACAAACTTGATAAAGTGAACCTGACTGACATTAAAAACATCTGCACATCAAAAGGCACCCTTGAGAAAATGAAAATCCAAACCAAAGATAAGGAAAATGTTATTTTATTTATAAATATATGTATATATATGACATTTTTATCAAATACATATATGTAGGGGCACCTGGGTGGCTCAGTTGTTAAGCATCTGCCTTCGGCTCAGGTCATGATCCCAGGCTCCTGGGATGGAGTCCCACATTGGGCTCCCTGCTAGGCGGGAAGCCTGCTTCTCCCTCTCCCACTCCCCCTGCTTGTGTTCTCTCTCTCACTATCTCTCTCTCTCTGTCAAATAAATAAAATCTTAAAAAAAATACATATATGTATATATATGTGTATATATGATGGCATACTTGTATCCAGAATATATAAACAATTCCTACAACTCAATAATAAAAAGAAAACAAGTCAATACAGAAATAGGCTAAAGTCTTAAACCTATATTTTCACAAGAGAACATACAAATAGACAATAAACATATGAAAAAGTTCTCAATCATTAATCATCAGGGAAATGCAAAATTAAAACCACAAAAACATGCAATTTCACACCTACCAGAAAGGCTAAAATTAGAATGACTGGAAATACCAAGTGTTGAGGAAAATGTGGAACTGGAGATAATATACTGCTGCTGGCGGGAGTGTAAAAATGACACAAGAACTTCGGAAAACTTTTTGGGAAACTGTTCTAAAGTTAAAAATACCCTAAGCTTATGACTCAGAAATCCCACTCCTACTATATATTTACCGAAGAAAAATGAAAATATGCCCATAAAACTAGTTGTATGAGAATGTTCATGTAGTTCTATTCACAATAGCCCCAAACTGGAAGCACTGCAAATGTCACGCAAGTGAATGGATAAATAAGTTGTGGCTTATTCATCCAATGGAATTCTACTCAACAACGGAAAAGGAACAAACATGCCAAAATATACGTATCTCAAATACATTATGTTGATGAAAGTAGTCCCAGATGAGTTCATATTCTATGACTCCATTTAAATGTAGTTTCAGAACTACATTTCTAAACTAGAGTGATAAAAATGAGTACATAGTGGGTTGGCCAGGGAGGAAGGGATTGGATAGAGAAACACAGTAAATTTTGGGGAAGAGTGAAAATGCTCTATGTCTTGATTGGGGTGGTGGTTGTCACATGGATGTTTACATGTATCAAAACTCAACAAACTACTCACTTAAAATCAGTGCATTTTAATATATGTACATTTTATCTCATAAAAATATAAAAAATGGAATAAAATTAAGATACTATGAGAAAGGAAAAATTTTAAATGAGTGGTTGGAAGTTAAATGATTACCAAGTTATATAGAAATGTTGGAAAATAAAGTTGAGACAACTGCTCAGAATATGGAACAAAAAGCAAATAGATAAAAACATAAGAAAAAAGATAATAGACCTAATGAATCAAACCAAGAATCCAAGAACCACCTTACAGGAGTTTCAAAAAGAAAACAGAGAAAAATAAAGGAGAATAAATTATGAAAGACAGAATAGGAGAAAATTCCCCACAGCTGAAGGGAAACGTGTACTTCAAATTAAAAAGGCTTATGATATTAAGGAGGATAAATGAAAATACCCACACTGAGACATTTTATCCTAGCTCCTTTCAATGAGTTCATTGCAAGACGAATAAACTCACAAGACATGTCATCATAAGTTTTCAAAGCATCATGCAAAACTAAAATTTTTTAATCACTCCAGAGAGAAAACAAATAGTTCAGGCATCAACAAGTTGTAAGACTGTCATTCTCATCATTTCATGAGCAATAGTGAAAGTTAGAGGACAACAAAGCCTTGAAAGACTTAAAGAGACATAATTCTGTTTCTATATCCTACCAAACCATCAATCATAATAGCAAAAATAATTTACAGCCATATGAACATTAAAAAATAAAATTACCATCCACATACCTTTTATGAGTAAGTATCCTTAGTTTGTATTCTACCAAAAGAGAGGAAAAAAACAAATAACAGAATATGTGTGGTTAAGAAACAATGTAACTTACCAGAATGTAATCTGTTCAAATTAAACAGAAAGTGACTGGGCTTCAAAGGGAACATCTTCAAGCAGAGAAATGGAATGGAAGCTTCTCATACAAAGAATGAGAGGACACGGTGAAGAAAGCATGTGATGGGAGGACTCTGTGAAAGAAGTACATGTACCTTTCCCCCAAAAGTAAACAGAAAGTCCTTTGTAAAAGTGAGGAAGGTTAAAAGCTATATAGGAAGTACCCAACCCAAAAAACAAATCACACTTAACTATGGCATAATTTTTTGTCATCATAGAGGAAGAAAGAAGTCAATTTGATGTTAATATTACAAGTCACCTCCTTAGTGTGGCATAGGGGTCATGAAATGAAGACAATGGGAAGGAAATGTATCATGGCATACTTTTTGGCACTGGATTTAGGACTATTTACAAAGCCATAATATTGTAACATTTTAATGTTTTTTAGCACACAAAAAAAGCAAAAAAAAAAATTGTAGTTAAGAAATATAATATAGGGCGCCTGGGTGGCTCAGTTGGTTAAGCAACTGCCTTCGGCTCAGGTCATGATCCTGGAGTCCCGGGATCGAGTCCCACATCGGGCTTCCTGCTCAGCAGGGAGTCTGCTTCTCCCTCTGACCCTCTTCCCTCTCGTGCTTTCTATCTCTCATTCTCTCTCTCTCTCAAATAAATAAATAAAATCTTAAAAAAAAGAAATATAATACAGATATTATTAACCTTGACAATATATAAGTAAAGGTCCAGATAAGGGAAGGTGGGAGTGGTGGATATAGTTTCTGCAGTGGTAAAGATTACTTTCCTCATTTTACCAAATAAGGAGCCCAAATATATTTTTGAAAATTGACATGAAAAAATAATTTTTATATATTATTTAAAATTATAACATTAACCAATATGAAAAACTAAAAATTGTAATAACTAATTAAAACTTTGGAGAAGAGAGGTTGGGGATAGTGTGGGTTATCTTAAGAAGTCAATTAAAAAAAAAAGAATGAGCATTTTAACTTATTATTCAACATATAGACCTAAAGTTAGAAAAGATTAAAAGTGGTCATTTCTGACGAAGAGGACTAAGGTAGGAAGGGAGACACTAAACTGTTGCATTTTATTATTCAATCCTTCTATATTATGCTGTTTGACTTTCAATTAGACAGCCTCTATCAGACAACTGAAAATCAAATAACCAAATAAATAAAATGCAAATTACTCAAAAGGTAAGATACTAGTTAGCATAAAACATTTCATCAATATTCCACTTCAACTACCTCCTAGATGGGTGCACATAAAAAGGTTCATATGTACAAAATATACACATAGATTCGTTCACATTTGGTGAGTGGAAGAAAGCTACTGAAAAAAAAAAAAGCTGAGGTGAGAGATTAGTTGAGTAAAAACAATGTAAGCAGAGGGGTTTGAAAATTCATTCATTCAACAAATATCTTGAAGCTGTTTGAAGTCAGGTGTTTTTCCAGCTGCCTGGTCAAGGACAGTAACTAAGACACAATCCCTGCCCTCAAAGAACTTTGAGTCGAAATGAAAATAAGGGGGAGGGGTTGACGCCGATTTCATCATGAATAGTTGACACATTTCTTCAACGGGCGAATAATACTAGTTCATTTACTTTATATACATTCCCTCAAAAAAAGTTGTCTTTCTGTCCCAAATAAAAACAGGAACCAAGGGCCTTAAAAAGCAACCACTGACAATTCCAATTGTTCACATTCTCCCGCTCCCCAGGAAATGTTACATCTCGACAACTGACTAAACCTTTGAAACTAGAAACAAAACCAAGACTTTGTATCTATGGTAAGTAATGGAGAGCTGATTCCACATTCTCTAACCTCTTCTTTAAACCTTCCTTTGAAGCAGTGATGCAGTGGTTACTCTCAAATAGCTGCCTACAGTTCCCAAAGGACTCAGGTCAACCGGGGGCGGCGAGGGGAGGCGGACATTAGCTAAGGATGCGCACAGTCCTCACCAGCAAGCAGCTCCACAGGTTGGCTCCCCTTACTGTGGGACAAGCCAGGCCACTCGCTGCACTTGACTTTCCTCTACCTCCCACCAGCCCCACCCACTACGACACACAAACCTGACAAACCCAAATACCTGCCTCTGAGTGTGGGGACGCAGGCGGACACAAACACAAGGGGATGGAGCTTCTACACAGGGCCCCAGCTTGTCGCTATGGCTGCTGCTGCGGGCGCTACTGCTTAGTGTACCAGACCCTGCATTTCAGGTGCTTCTACAAAAGAAGCCGCTCCTCGAGCGCCGGGGTTGCCCTTTGCCTGCTGGCTAGAATCCGCCGAAATTTCCAGCTCGGAATCTGGCCAGGAGAGTGAGTCTGACTCTCTCCACTGACAGCTCCCAGCTCTCCCCGCCCCCACCCTCGATTCAGCCGGGCCATTTCCTCTGACCTCACAACTTCCACGACACAACGTTGAGGAAAGACCCAGACGTCCAGCGTTTTGCCCCTTGCCCAAGCTGGTGAAAATATGTAGCCACCAAGGAAGAAGGGCAGAGGGATTGGAGTTATTGGTTAAGGAAACAGAAGACGGAGAGCGTGGTGTGGCTGCACACAGGAAGGCGGAGGCAGAATTTGGAGTTAAATCGGGGGAACGCTCAGGCGTTTGCTGGGGACACCTCGTTGGGTCCTTTCTCAGTGCTGTCGTGTGCGGGAGCGTGTTCCCGACTGCTCCGGACTGAGGCTGCCGGGTGAGGCTCCCCAGGTTGCTCTGTCCACCGATTCATGTGAGTGACGCCCATCGAGGGTACCGGGTAGGCTGGTTGAGTTCGAAGGAGTCCCCCTTCCCTTACTCGACTTGGCGAGATGGGACCTGGCCTGCCGATACTAGTGGGAAATACGCTCATCCCAACACCAGTCTTGGCATATGGAAGTAGGGAACAAACAGCTTGGGACCTTTTGAAGGAACCACGTTTGAGAAATGGGATGCAGGGCTGAGGGAAAGGATGCTACTGGAAAAGTATATTCACAAACACGTGTACTGTTACGTGTGAGCGCGCGCCCGTGTGTGTAAAAGGACTGGGGTGGGGGTGTGTCAAGAATTCATCCTTCAGTTAATTAAGCGCACACTATGTTTCGGGCGTTGTTTTAGGCCCTGGGTAAAGAGCAATGAACAAAACAGAAACTCCTAGCTTCCCGTAGTTCACGTTTTATTGATGAAGACACATACTAAACACAATTAAGAAAAACATGCCATATTGTAGGTTGTAATGGGAGCTGAAGAGAAAAATAATAAAGCAGAGGAGGATATAGTTTGAAATTTCAGTGTGGCCAGGGAAAGTCTTACTGAAAAGAAGCCTTTCGAGCAAGAGCTGACATTCGTGAGAGAATTAACCATACAGATGTCTTGGGGAAGTGCGGTCAGGTAGAGAGGGACCAGCCATTGCAAAGGCCATGAAGCAGAAATTCGCCTGAAGAGCAAGGAAGCTTGTGGGTTAGAGTTGAGTGAAAGGGTTAAAGCTGGAGGCAAAATCATAGAAGGAACAAATCATGAAGGATATTGAAGGCATCTCAGTTATTGGGGAGTTTTGAGCAATGGACGTACATAAGCTGGCTTTCTTTTAAAAAGGATCTTGTTGCTGTGGAGAATAGATTGGAAGGGGCAAAGTGGAAGAAAGACCGGTTTGGAGGCTTTTGTAGTAATCTAGAGGAGACAAGATGGTGGCTTGAGTAGGGGTGGTAAGAAATGGCTGGCCAGGTTCTTAGTGCTCTTAGTTTAGTTTGTATTGGTGGATAATGAGTTAATTTATTTTAATTAGGATTGGGAGACACTTTAAAAATGAAGTGTAGTGTGAGGTTTGGAGTAACAAGTTAAAATCATAGCTTTGCCATTTAATATTTAATTTATAATATTTGGATTATAATATTTGGATTTAGACCAGTCATGTAATTTCTCTGAATTTTTCTATAAAATGGAAATGTTATCCCACAAGGTTGTAAAGCTTAAATGAACCCATATATAATGGTGCCTGGCCCATTAAAGTAGTGACTGTTGTTATTAGCTGTGTTCTTGGATAAGAAATGGGAAAAAGTCCTGAGTGCTTCTGTGGATGGAAAGGAATGGTTAAACCCTATTGAAGAAAATCTGAGAGACCTAGACATACCCTTTATAAAAATATTATGCATATTTCACTGGACAGTAAGATTTTCTATGTTAATGGCTGTAGTACCTGAAATATATGGACTGTCTTCTCATAGCCATCCACTGTATAGCAGTCCCCTCTTAGCCATCCCTAAAGCCCCCCAGGACCCCTTGTGTGTTTATTAGTAAAGGGGAAGAAGGTAAAGAAAAACAATCAAGAATTAAAACAAATTTCCCGTTATAAAATGAGTAAGAGATATAATGTACAGTGTGGTGCCTATAGTTTAAAAATACTGCATTTGAGTATTTGAAAGTAGCTGGGAGAGTGGATCTTGAAGGTTCTCACAAGAAAAAAGTATTTGTAACGATGTATGGTGAAGGATGTTAACTGGGCTAATGTGATCATCTTGCAGTATATATAAATACCGAGTCATGTTGTGCATCTACAACTAATTTGATAATTGTGTCAATTACATCTCAAAAATTTTTAAATAAAAAAAGTGACAGCTAATAAGTGGCAGAGCTAGAATTTGAATTCATTCCCTCAATACATGCCACGTAAATAAATAAATAAATAAACAAAAAAGAAACATTCACAAAAAGAATAGTTTTAGGTCTGTTTTCTATATTTTGGCAAAGATTGCAAAAACACCCCTGGAGTTATTGCCGGTTACCACTGCTATATAATTTGAGTATTTCTGGGACTCATTGTTCTCAGAATATTTAATTTTTATTATTTACCTTTTTAAAAATTCTGACTTTTGACACATGTTTTAAATCCTAGTAGGAGTTTTAAGATAGTTCTAAAAAGTACCACGTTATGTAGCATGGTAATAAAGATGTTCTCCATATGGGGTGATTTGGCAGTTAGGTTACGAAGCAAATGGATGAACGAAGATTGGAAGGTTAGATTCGGAATTGATGGTGGGGGGAGAGAAAAAAGTGATTAAAATTACTATAGTTTATTAATCCTGATGTACATGCTTTTCTCATATTTACTTCTCTAAAATTGTCATGCATTTTATAATTGTTGTCTTAAAATCACTATGAGCTAAGTGGCACTTGTGACATAGTTGTCAGTGCCCCTACTTATGCATACTTAATCATAAGTTGTCAATATTGTCATCAGTTCAGTTATGTGTAGTGTTAGTATATAGTAGTTGACTTTAATCTCCATTTTAAGTATCCTTTATATGATGAATTACCATTAAAATGAAAAGTTAATGTGTATGCAGAAATATAGGGAAACAAAAGAGTTATATAAGATAAAAATAGGGCTAAATTTAAGAGATTTTTCAAATAATACAGGATGTATGCTTTTTTCTTTTTTTTTTTTTTAAGATTTTATTTATTTGACAGAACGTGAGAGAGGGAACACAAGCAGGGGGAGTAGGAGAGGGAGAAGCAGCTTCCTGCCCAGCAGGGAGCTTGACGCAGAGCTCGATCCCAGAATCCTGGGATCATGACCTGAGCCGAAGGCAGATGCTTAACGACTGAGCCACCCAGGCGCCTCTGTGCTTTTTTCTTAATGGTACATAAAATGACAGAGCGTCTTATGATTGGAGCCATTTTACAATTGATGGCATCTTAGATTTGATGAAATACAATACTTACGGCATCTGAGAAGAATATAAACCTTTACCTAATTGAAGTTCTGAAACAGTGAAATCAGGTGTTTTGGAAAGTAGCGAGACACTTCCAAATTTTTGTAGAATTCCTATATTATAAAGGAAAATTGACAACCTGCACTTAAATCTTCCATTTCAGAGTAATAGCTTATTTGTTTATATTTGGTCCCTAACATTGAAAACCTGGGGTAGGGAGTTTGCTATTTAAAAGGAATTACTGGATATAAGACTGATGAATCACTGAACTCTACCTCTGAAGCTAGTAATACACTATATGTTAATTAATTGAATTTAAATTAAAAAAAGGAATTATTGGCAATTTAGAATCAGAGTGGGGAAAGACTACTGAGGAAATTTCCGAGATAAAGGGAAGCCATTTGGAAATGACAGAAATCTCAGAAATAGCCTTTTGTATATGTTTTAATGATTAAGATGTCTAAATTCATGTATTTCATAAAATCAGCCTCAGCTTTGATTAGTGGCATCTACAATGGCTTTTAGATCTAATGAAATATAATGAATATTGTGAACAAAATTAATGTTAAGAGGCAGAATAATTTAGATAATACTTTAAAAATGCTTTTTGTCATAAAAATAAGGTCTTTTTTTTTTTTTAAAGATTTATTTATTTATTTATTTATTTGACAGAGAGAGCACAAGCAGGGGGAGCGGCAGAGGGAGAGGGAGAAGCAGGCTCCCCGCGGAGCAAGGAGCCTGATGGGGCTCCGTCCCAGGGTCCTAGAATCATGACCTGAGGCGAAGGCAGCGTCTTAACTGACTGAGCCACCCAGGCGCCCCAAGGTCATTATTTTTTAATTTAGTAAAGGAAAAAAAAAATCTAAACTATCCAAGAATTCTTACTATCCAAACAGAATTAACATCTTGTGGACTGTTTTCTCCTTTTTTCTCTGTGTGTTTTATATTTGTAATTACTGTGTGTGCAGTTAAGTATTATTTCTCTGTGTAATTTTTTTCTCTATGTAAGTGTTTTACATTTATGATAACTATGCATGCAATTAAATATGTCTATTTTATCTCCTAATCATTAAATAAAATTTAATGCGGATTAAGCCAGTATTCCCAAACTATTGTAGAGGATACTATTCTAGTAAATGTTAATAGGCGTTCCTTGGTTAGGATTCTGTGGTTAAATACATTTGGAAACTCTACATAATTATGTCTTTTATAGAAATTATAGCTTGGACATTAAAAGAGCTAACTCCAGAATCAGACAGACGGTAAGTTTTAATCCTTTTATTTACTAACTAGTCATATGACCTAAGGCAAATTAATTTTAATTCAAATTTTCTTCTGTGTATAATGGAAGTAATTACAGTATTCATAGGTGATCTATGTAATGCATTTAGCCAGCCCATAATAAATACTCTGCAAATTTTATCTGTTACTGTCTTATTAACATTATCATCTGTGAGAAACCCTAAGTCTATTAGCACATTGAAAGCCCTGAGGAGACTAAGGGAACTTAAAAGTTATGAAATTCAACAGGTATTCAATGTAAAGTTGAAAATCACAATGGAACAGTTGGCGCACAATAATGAAATGAGCACTAGGTTGAATGGTGCAAGATCTGTCTGAGCTTTAAGCTCTAAGTTGTTATTAAACTCGCACTGTTTCCCTAAACATAACCTCATTTAAATTTGTTTTTCCAATTTACTGTGTTTCCCTCATTTGTCTGAAAGCTTAGTGAGTACAAAGAACATGTTTAATTTTGCTCTTTACTATAAACCCAGCACATGGCTCAAAATCAGGAAATATAAGTAAAATTGCAGTCATGAACTTAAATTTTTTTATAGGGGCCTGGCAGGTAGCGTAAATGGCAGACAACAGGGACTTGGGCAGTCTGTTTTGCCTTGCTTAAAGCATTCACCTTCAGCTGTTTTATCATTGTTAACCCTGGAACACAAAGACATCCCTGATCTCTGTGGTGATAGTTTGTAATCCGTAGAAGAGACTAGAGATCAGGACCAAACTCTGAAAAACATAAGCATTAAAGGGACAAGTCAAGAAAAAAGAGCCCTAAAAGGAGGTGCTAAAGAAGTAGGAAGTGAAATCAGGTGAAACTATCCTTATTTTATAATTAAGAAAGTAAAGCACAAGAGAAGTTAAGTAACTTTACCAAGGTCACACAGCCTATTAAGTATGTAATTCAACCAAGATTTGTTGGCTGTAAATACTTTAAGAGAAAAAAAAAACAAACTGCTCTTCTGCTGGTGCTAGTGATCAATATCTGCATATTGCTAGAAAATATGGACATAAACTTATGCATACTACTTTACTTATATTTTTGAAAGTTTAAAGACAGTTAATTAACAAGTACTAGAAAACCTGTTTCCAGAGCTTCTAATTCTAAAAACAATAAATAGCTCTTAGCATTTGAGAAAAAGTTGTGTCAACATATAGACCTGACTAGAAGCTAATCCAAAATATCTCAAAAGGCATGTTGATTTTGACATCATGAATAATATTGCCAAGATAACCAATTATCTAGGAGTAGAGAATAAGTAGACACTGGTTAACAGCTAGTGTGTTTTATAATCATTCCTAAGTTTTATTTTGCCAAGAAAACTTGATTATTACCAGAAAAATGTGCTAGCAAAAGATATTTCCTCTCTTCTTTTAAATGAGGCTTCCTTTGTAGTGGTATTGCTGATATTGTGGCAGTTAAGGTAGTTACAAGTAACCTATCACTATATGATAAATGTTATAAATGTTGGAAGATTATTAATTATTGCATAACCAAATAAGGACTTTGTCATAAGTAATTAGGATGTAGAGTATTTTCAGGTTTTAAATTCATACACTCTTAAGTTTGTGGTTCACTGAATTTTTTTTAAGACTTTATTTTTTAGAGCAGGTTTAGATTTGCAGCAAAACTGAGCAGAAGATATTTAGTGAATTTATATTCTTTTTTTCTTTTCCTTAAACCAGAACAATTTATATCATTTTCATAAAACAGTTTTTGTATTCTTGGCCATTTGTATGCCTTTGGCAAAATGGTACGTATGGCTCATGCTGGATTACTTTGCCTTCTGAGCTAGAGCTGGGAACTGTTAATATTAGTCCTTAGAAGACTTTCACAAGGCGTTCAGAGTGAAATCTGCTATATGCCATTGAGTGTTCCTTCTTTGTGTACCAGTTATTTAAATAATCTTGAGTCTATTACCTTTAGAGTTTCCATAATTATGATGACAATATCTATTTGTAGGGAGAAGCGCAAAGATTTTCAGTTGGCTGTTGTCTTTATTGTATTCCCTGGACAGGAGTCCTTGGATATATTTCGTACACTATTATAAACACAAAATTTAGAATTAATGTAAATATATTAATATTTATCACCCCTGTAGACTGTATACCATTCACAAAGAAATTAAGGTGTGGCTCAGCCAAATTACCTACTATATTTTAATATCAATTTCCATAATTTGTATTTTTATTGTTATGTTCTTAACCTTTAAGAAAATGTAAAAATCATAGCTAAGGATCTACAAAATATCATGCCCATAGGTAACCCACACTGCTTCTTGAAGGTGGGGATTGTACATATATCCTTTGTTGTGTTCCCAAAATTGTGCTCAGTGCCTGACATTTTTTAGCTATGTGCCAAAAATCTTGAGTATTATTCATGGTATCTCATTTTGCAATGTATCAATGCTATGGAATATATAAAATTATCTCCATCTTACAAATGAGAAAACTGAGGCTCAGAGAGGTTAGGTAAGTTGTTGAAGGGCAAAGGGTAGGATTTGATTCAAGGTCTTGTGATTTCCAAGTCCATGTTCTTTTTATTAAATTACTTTTATCTCATTATTCTTGTAAAAGTTCTTAATATTCTAATAAGGAGTAATAATAATATGTACCTTATACTGTTGTGATAATTAAATAAGTTAATATTGTGTAGTGCCTAGAAAAAGACCTGGCAAATACTAAAGACAAAGTAAACACTAGATATTATTATTACCCAGTAATACCTATCAGGAAATTTGAGATGACTTCTGTCATCCATAATTATTTTATATATGAGTGGTTTATTAGAATCACTGTCCTCTCTCTCTCTCTCTCTCTCTTTTCAACATTTTAAGACTTCATGGCCTATGAAGTGCCTGGTTGTCTCAGTCAGTTAAGCATTGGACTCTTGATTTAGTTTCTGGTCATGATCTCAGGGTTGTAACATTAAGCCACACATCCTGCTCTGCACTCAGCACAGTCTTTTTCCCTCTCCCTCCCCCCGCCCACACCCGCTTCTGTACTCTCTATCTCTAAAATAGTAAATAAAATATTTAAAAAAAAGACTTCATGGCCTAAATATGTTTTTCAGTAACATTTCCCTTTGTTACTAACATGTTTTCCTTTTATTTTTCATGTTTTATTTATATAGTTATTTGGTTAAAAATAAATCCACTTTTACTAAATATTTCAAGTGATATGCAATTCTCAGTCCTAGTTATATTTCACAATTTAAAACTAGACCTTAACCTAAGCAAGTATTTGTAGTTATAAGCAAGTATATAAAATATAGAGGTATATATTTTTTATCAGCATCATTCAAAGTATTATCACTTTCTTTTATCCTATTATTTCCTCTTAGTGGCTCTATGTATGTGTTTAATAGATTCAGCTCATTTGTGTCTATGTTTTGAAACATTCTTTCTTATTAAACTTAATGCTTGTGCTTCAATATGTATTACAAAAGTCATATTTAATTTAACTCACTTTTGTAACTCTATTTTGCAGATAGTTAATAGATTTATCAACTCAGTAAAATTATATCTTTTTTTTCTCTTAGCCTAGGATTTATGATCTCTATTTTGCGAATTATCGTTAGTCTTAGTTTGAAACTGTTTTTGTGTGTGTCAGGACATGAATTTCATGTTTTGCTGATATTTGTGAGATAAATTTCTGTACCTGTTGGCAAATTTATGACAACTATTTTACACTTAAATCTACTTGTTTCTTATCAGTTAGATAAGATATTAGTTGACTAGGGATTTTTCTAAAGGATATCACTAAGGTCACATTTATTTTAATATTAACTCATTAAATTTTTCTTTGCTACAAAAGTAAAAGCTAACAAAGTATGCTAAATCAAATACTCCTTACTTTTCTTGGGATAGCTATTTTCACCTATTGAATATATTTGATTATTATGTTAGACTAAAATAGAAAGACCTTAAACTAAAAGAATGCTTACTAAGGAGGATATTAAAAGTCCAGAAGAACATGGCTTTTTTTTACTTTAACCTTCTTCATCTGTTTATTTGTACTTTTCTCTAAAATTCTAGAACAACATTTGAGGAAAAGCAACAGAATATTCTGTGTTCATGTTTAAAAATTGGCTGAATTTAAAGTTGATATCTTCATTTTCAATTTTTGTACCTTTTTATTTGCTTGCTCTGTATTTTTTTAAATTGTTAAATAATAGTCCGTATAGAAAATTAGGAGTTTACTATGACTTTTTCAGATTATCCTCATTTATATTTTCTTCACTTACTAACAACTTTATTTTTATCAGGTTTTTATTTTTTTGGTGGTTCTGTATTATAAATTGTCAATTTTAGCATAAAGTTTTTTGAGAATTGGTTCTCTTTTTATAAAAAGGTAAACATTTCAGAATGTTCTTTATATAGGATGGATATTACATAATATGAAATTTTCAAACAATCTTATTTGTTCATTTTAGCCAATTTTTTCCTTATCAAAAAATTTAACCATTTTATTATCTAAAATCAGAATTACTTCAGCAATGCTTATGTCATTGTTATGCTTTATATTATAAATTGAAGTTAATCAGGTAAAAAGTTTGTAGTAGTATTAATGATTAATCTTGTTTTTCGTCAGTGTGACTATTTGTCTTAATATTCAGCAGTTTAAACTTTAATATTATGAGTTAATCTCAGAATATTTGCTTATATGCATTTTTCTGCACACTGACAGGATGTTTTCTAATTTCTATGAATTATAAAATTAAAATTACAATAATTTTCTTTTACGGGGTCATAGTATATATGCTGATGTTATTTCTGAGTAGGCATGTCATTAATATTCATATATTCCTAATTGATCTTTTTGTCCTTAATTCACATGTTCCTTCTTAAAATTGTACATAGTTAAATAAACAGTAGAATAGTTAAATAAACAGTAGAAATATCCAATATACAAAAAATAAACACTAAGAATTCAGCAATTCTTAACTTTGGAACACAGGGGTGGCACTCAAGCTTAGTTAAGGTTATTGTTATTCTTTTCTCTTAGTATTCCTGTTTTGCATCATAATACTCTGCCATACATATTTTAAAGCTTTCTTTAAAACTTTCCAACCTAAAATGTGGTTAAATAGCATCTTTTTTGCATTTAGGGAAAAAAAATTGATTGCTTCTTCCAAACATATTGAGGCATTAGTTTAACATTTCTGCTGTTTGGTTTGTTGCTGTATATCGGAAAAGTGTTTTTCTAGTGTATTGATTTGTTAGAAGATATTTTTCCTTTCAGACTGCTTGCTCATAGTGTTGTGCACAATAAATTTATTCCTTCTATAGTGCAATTTGCCACTTTTTATTTTTTCACTTAGGATTTTCTGCCGTTTCTTGGCAAAAATGGCAACTAATGGTGCTGTTCTGAAGAGACTGGAACAGAAGGGTGCAGAAGCAGATCAAATTATTGACTATTTAAAGCAGCAAGTTGCTCTTCTTAAGGAGAAAGCAAGTAAGAGATTTTGCATTTTTGGAGGAGTTACTTAAAATGAATTCCTATATGGACAAGAGCACAAAAACTGTGTTTACCCCATAAATATACTTCATCATCTTGATGGTAACTTTTAGATTCCTTTACTATTTTAATTTTGAGTGAAATAATATTCTGGAATTGAGATAAATTAGAATTGGTATATAGTGAATGTAATGTAGAGAAAAGAATGTATTATTTTAAGAGGGCTAAAGGAAAATTAATGTTTAAAATAAGTTCATATAGAATTAAAGATTAAAATGAAGAAAATTAGGTAAAATCACATATGAACTCAAATTTATCTCCTCTAAGAATATATACTTATATTACCCTCTACTTAAAGCATTTTCTGAAATGATTTTTACATTTTTTCCATACATCTTTAAGTTTTACCTAGGAATTGCTATGATATATACAAAAATATCAAATCTGAATTTCTGCTTTTAGGATTTAAGTTGATTTTTGTTTAAATATATTTTTTATTTCTCAATAATCAATGTTAATGATATGATGAAAATTCCCAAGTCTTTTAGAATAACTAGTAGAAATAAACGCTTCTCTTTGCTGCATAAGATTGTGAATGGTTACAGAATCATACAGTTACTCTTCAGAATATTTTTTCTTTATTAATTCTTTTTTCTTAATTTTAAAATATGTTTTAATTATTCCTTTTTTATAATGTTTTGTAAACATTTTTTTCTTTAAATTCGTAAAGGAGGGCGCCTGGGTGGCTCAGTTGGTTGGGCGACTGCCTTCAGCTCAGGTCATGATCCTGGAGTCCCGGGATCGAGTCCCACATCGGGCTCCCTGCTCAGCAGGGAGTCTGCTTCTCCCTCCGACCCTCTTCCCTCTCGTGCTCTCTATCTCTCATTCTCTCTCTCAAATAAATAAATAAAATCTTTAAACTCGTAAAGGATTTCTTGTTATTTTTCTTAAAATTTTTAATTTTTTTTCCCATTAGTAAGATAAAGATTAGAGATGATCAGTGCTTCTGTGTGAATTTTTTCTCATATGGGTGGCTATTAGCTTGACTAGCATTTCAATTTTGCTAATCAAAAAAAAAAAAAGAAAAAGGAACCCTTCTACACTTACTGCATATTTATTCTTCACCTTTATTATTTTTTGTTAGCCTATCCTGGGTGGTTCTCAGTCCCATTGTTCCTATGTTACAATAAATATTTTGTGAAAATCTCTTAATACCCTGTAAAGAAAATATTTCTTAGATAAAATAACCTGCCTATACACATAATTTTGAAACATGTTAACCGTGTATGTAAGATAGAGGAAAATTAAGAAGAATGTAATATATAAATTGTAGTAATAATGAAAATGTGTATTTTAGTGAGTAAATACTTAGGCAGGACTGTCCTACCAGACATATGAGAGTCCTATGTTGTATGGTTCCCATACATGGAATCACCAAGAATGCAATAGATATAATGCTATTTGGTATGAGTTTGTATTTAGTTTGCCTTTATGTGGGCAACTCTGATACCAAAAACAGCTTTCAGGTATGTTTTTTGTTTATTCAGAATGATGAATAATTCTTTAAGGAAAGCTGTGAACAAAACAAAGTACAGTCTACTCGATTTATAAGATACTTGATTTATAGAAAATTCAGGGTGTACTGAAAATGTTTAAGAATACTTTGTGTTTATATATAAAAAATAGTGTCGAGGCTCAAATAATTAACAGTATTTTCACCTATACAAATGTACAGTGGGTTACTGGAAAATTCTGCAGAATGTGAGACAGCTCTTCATTTTACAAGTATATCTAGCATATTTCAGGACATCTGACATTCCTGACTCCTGCCCAGTAAATGCCCAGAATGACTCCTATTATTTGTGACAACCAAAAATAACTCCCACAGATTTTGAAAATCCTACCTAGGGAGCCGTACCAACCCCACTGAGAATCATTGTTTTTCTTTTATTCTTTTGTGTACCCTATTGCTCACCTTTAACACACATATCTTGAGGAAATCTTTGAAGCTATTTCACTCATTGAATGTTCGACTAGCTCAGTGTCTGAAACATTAGGAGTAAAAGATTATTCAGGTACTTTTACAAGGTAATGATTAAAAAGAAAGCAATGAGTTTTTTTATGGTTTGCTATCATTAGATCTCTGGCTTTAAAAAAATAATGAAAGACATGTATCATATGACCTCACTGATATGAGGAATTCTTAATCTCAGGAAACAAACTGAGGGTTGCTGGAGTGGTGGGGGGTGGGAGGGATGGGGGCATTGGGGAGGGTATGTGCTATGGTGAGCCCTGTGAATTGTGCAAGACTGTAGAATCACAGATCTGTACCTCTGAAATAATGCAATATATGTTAAGAAAAAAAAGAAGGAGAAGATAGCAGGAGGAGAAGAATGAAGGGGGGGAAATCGGAGGGGGAGACGAACCATGAGAGACTATGGACTCAGAAACAAACTGAGGGTTCTAGAGGGGAGGGGGGTGGGGGGATGGATTAGCCTGGTGATGGGTATTAAAGAGGGCACGTATTGAATGGAGCACTGGGTGTTATGCACAAACAATGAATCATGGAACACTACATCAAAAACTCATGATGTAATGTATGGTGATTAACATAACAATAAAAAATTTAAAGGAAAAAAATAATGTGTCTAATACTTGCCTCATTTTGACAGTTTGTCTATGGTTGACACTTTGAGTTCAGTTCTTAAGTTGTCATTAGCATCTTCATGGAAGCCAGGAAATGCTTCATAAACAAAATTTTTCTGTCCCGTTATTATTTCACAGGTTTTCTTGCTTTTTCTTTATGTTAATTATCATTTTATTCAATAAATATTAATGTTTGCCATTTCCTGACATAAAGGAACTGGCAAACATTTAGTTATTGGTATTATCCTAGTTATGTTTATACTGCTGTGCTCTTATCAGGTAGTGTTCATAAGAAACCTCTTAGAAAACATGGCTGTATCTTACCTGGATTTTCTTAATCCTAGTTTTGCAGGCAACTTTGAGAGAAGAGAAGAAACTTCGAGTTGAAAATGCTAAATTAAAGAAAGAAATTGAAGAATTGAAACAAGAGCTAATTCAGGCAGAAATTCAAAATGGAGGTAAATATATAAATGATAGGTTGTTTTGATTTATAATAATAATAATTATATCATTAATTGTTAAATTAGGTATTATGCTTGATTTCTCACTTTATCCCCACAGTAGTCCTTCTCGTGCAATCTACCTCCTCTACAGAAGAGAAAATAGACTTAGAAAAGACAAATGATCTTGCCTGAACTCATGCAAAAAGTGCAGACCTGGGGTGCAAACGCCTGTGCTTATAGTGATGTTGAGCATGTTTTCATGTATTTGTTGGCCATCTGTATGTCTTTGGAAAAATGTCTCTTCAGGTCCTGTGCCTGATTTCATTGGATGATGATGACGATGATGATTTTTGGTATTGAATTGTAAAAGATCTGTATATATTTTGAATATTAAGGCCTTAACAGATATACCATTTGCAAATACCTTCTCATTCAGTTGGTTGCCTTTTTATTTTGTCAATGGTTTCCTTTGCTGTACAAAAGCTTTTTATTCTGGTGTAGTCCTATCAGTTTAGTTTTGTTTTTGTTTCCCTTTCCTCAGGAGATATACTTAGAAAAATGTTGCTGTAGTCAATGTCAAATTACTGCCTATGTTTTCTTCTAGGAATTTTATGGTTTCAGGTCTCACATTTAGGTCTTTAATCCATTTTGAGTTAATTTTTGTGTATTGTGTAAGGAAGTGGTCCAGTTTCATTCTTTTGCATGTAGCTGTCCGGTTTTCCCAACACCATTTGTTGAAGACTCTTTTCTATAGTATATTCTTACTTCAGGGAAATCCTATGTTTGCCTGAAACTAATATAGCTATATGTTAACTATACTTAAATTAAAAAAAAAAAACAAACTATGATTTTAATCTCTGTGCTACATACTTCAACTTGATCATCACTGTTCCCTATTATTGAAAATAAGCTGTAATAATATTTAGCTGACATTATGTTTTACTATTTGCCAGGCACTGTGTGCCAAGTGCTTCACATACATTATGTGTTTTATCCTTAAAATTTTGTGTACACAAATGTCCTTGTCTTATACATGAGGAAATTGAAGCCTACAGGTATAATTTGCCTGAAATCATAATTTTAAGTTAATCAACTCAGCAGGTAATTATCATTTCAGTGATGTTGTAAATAAAATTTAAAATTTTATTGAATTATTTTAGAGGTGACTAGATAAATTTACATCATTATAAAACAGTGATAATAATAGCTCTGTTACAATTTCAAAGTACCATACAGAAAGGCATTTGATTCTATTATACAAAATCCTTCCTAGGTGAGTTAAGGAGGCCCAAGTATAAAGTCTCTCTTACTACTTCCTTTAGAATTATCCTGTCAGTGAGTAAATTTTTTTGAATGCTATAATATGACCTCCACCCTTAAGTGAGCTAAACAAAAGTAAGGAAAACTCAATATAATGTGTGCTTACAGTTATCAACTAAAGAGAACATTGTTTGTCAATCTGATCTTTTCCAAGACAAGGAGATTTAGAATACAGGTACAGAATTAAATAAATAGTTAAAATATTAGCAATATAAAACTGCTTTCCATTTTACCAGTTCTAAAAGATTACCCTGGAACATTTTAAACTTTGATCTTATTAATGAAATGCTAAAGCACATCAACAGTTTGAATTAATGTATTGCATCCTGTCAAATGGTGAAACATTACACAAGGGTAGATGGAGTGTCACATTACTAGAAGCAAGAGCCTCTAGGGAACTTAAAAATACCTCAGAAAAGTGATCTGAATATTGGCCAGAATTTAAGCCACATCAAAATCCCTCACAAGACTATGTTTTTCCATATTCACTAGGCTTGTGAGAGTGTTTTTAACATTGCGGAAGGAATTTTCTTCCTTAAAAAGTTGTTTTTTGAAATAGAATTATGGACACGTCTCTCCATTAATTCTGATATTGAAATGACTATTATTAAAACACTTTCCCAGTTGATTTTTCAATAATATAAAAGAAAACCTGAGTGAAAAACACGCCATCTTGCCAAACCATGAGAGGATAGTCTCCCAAGACAGACTGCTTGAGTATAAATTCTTAATTTCCTGCTCACTGTGTGTGTGATGGGCCAGTTTTTTAACTTCTTTATGGCTCATGTTGATCATCTGTAAATGGGGATATAAATAGAACTTAACTGTTTTTAGGGTATTTATGAGAATTACAAAAGTTAATTCATGTAAAGCATTTCGAAAAGTGGGACATAGTCCATAAAAAATACTAGTTATTGTTGTCCATAATTTTCTCAGTTATTAATGATTAAATGAGAATCATTTATTTAACTTTTATCATGGTTAAAATGTACTTAATTTCTTGGCAGCTTTTTATAATCTCAGTAGAGACTTAATCATATACAGTGAATTTTTCTTTTAAAAAGAGCTCGTAATGACTTTATTTTATTTTTTGTATCAGTGAAACAAATACCATTTCCATCTGGTACTGTGCTGCAAGCTAATTCCACAGTTTCTGAAAATGTGATACAGTCTAGACCAATAACAACTATAACTTCTGGTGCCAAAGAACAGATAGGAGGAGGAGCGGAAGAAAAGAAGATGAAAGAGAAAATTGAAGTGAAAGGTATTTTTAATCCTTAAGGTTATTTGGTTCTTGATTGGTTTATCAGATGTCAACATTTTTGATAACAATAGTGGTGTCAAAAAGAAAATTGAAACCTTTATGAACTAGAATAAACAGTATGATATTGGAACATAGAAACGGGACCTAAACGATGTGTGAAAATTGACCAGGTCAATAGGGTAAGAATGTGGTATTTGAGGTAGAGTATGTTTTAACATAACTAAAAACATAGAAAGTAGAGGTTAAGCATAGGGGCCCATGTGTAGTTTGGTATGACTAAACTTTAGTGTGTATTCAATTTCAGAGAGGTCACAGGTAGAAAGTTAGCTTGGGACTAGTTGTGACGATAGGAAAGGGATAGTCTAGTCAAAGGATAATGTCTGAACTAAGGCATGGGGGTGTAAAGGTTTAGGAACCCATAAAAACTGGAGTAGAAAGTATATCACCATCCACTTAGACAGACCGACTAGAAATCTTGTAGTTAACCTCACCCTGTTGTCCTCCCTCAATTTGCATACCTAATTGACCACCAAAACATATAATTCCTACCACCAAAACGTATCTAGAACCCAGCTCCGTGGCTCCAGTTTGTTTGGTGCTACCTTTGTTCAAGTTCTCATGATCTGTCATTTGAATTAATGTTAAAGTCTCGTCTTTTCTAATTTATCCTTAAGTTGCTGCTGAAGCTATTCTAACCATAAATCTGACTCCTTTTTTACCTAGTCTCCTTTACTCCTTTGTAGACTTTATTTTTCCAAGTATGTCTAAAAAAAGTGCTTTTATAATTCATTGTACACACCTCTTATAACACTTACACTCACTTAAGAGTTTTTGGAAAATATAAAATGGCTGAGGAATTTGTGAATTAACCTAAGCCAGTTTAGCATCTAACACTTGTCAGTTCCTTTTAGTAAGTATCGGTAACTCTTCTTAGAAGTAGATAGGGGTTGTACATCTACATAACTTCACCACTAGGTGGTATGGTTACAGTGAAAGCAAGTCAAACTAATTCTTTCACTTTATAAATTTATTTATTGAGAAGTAGGCACAAAACAATCAGACAGCCTGTTCTAAGTAGGATGAAGTTCATACCCAAAGGAAGATATATTGCATTTGTGACTATGGGATTAGTCAGTCTTCTAGTCAAATGAGACAGCGAAGTCTTCCTTTGTGGGAGGAAGAGGCATACAAGACCAGTGGAGCTCTGTCTAGAATGCCTCTGTCCAGTGGTACTTTTCTGTGATAATGGAAATGATGTATAACTGCATTATCCAACATAGTAACCTGTAGTCACGCATTGCTACTGAACATTTTAAATGTATCTAGTATAACTAAGGAACTGAATTTTTTACTATTTTAAATTTAAATGTAAATAGCTGTGTGTGGTTGGCAGCTACCATATTGGACAGTGCTGGAATACAGGGCTGTTCCACTGGCCTTTGGCTGCTAGAATTGCCAGATTCCAAAATTCTGTTCATGCAGAGGCTGTGGTTACCATACAGGCTTTCTAGACTGCCACATGTGAGCATCACTCATTTTTTAATGAAACATTCTTAAAGTCTTTTATGATGACTAAGTTCTTGGTAGAGATTTGGATATTTGCAGTCACCTCTGGAATGTGGATTCCTGATAAAAGTATTTCAAATACCTAGGAAGTAGATTAAAGTTAATACAGGTTGATATACAGACGTAATGTTATATTGCATTATATCAAATACATAGATTATCACTCAAAGGTAACTGCTCTTAAGATTTTTGGTGTATTTTCTTCTAGTAATTGTGTATATTTATTCCTATACCATTTGGATTTTTACCGTTAAAAAGTCTTCGCTAATATTTTACATGGAAAGTGGAATTTTTAAAAATTTGTTAAGTAGATTAAAAATTGCCCATTATTTTGAGCTAGCTCTACCTCTTCTTTAGTAAACTGTCTTTGTATAAATTGTGAATGTCCTTACACAAAATCATTCTTTCCCACTCCAGGCAGAAATATTCATCTCTGTGTTTCTATATTTCTTTCTGTATGTAATGTTTGTCACATATTCATTATGTATATCTGTCTTCCTTAAAAGAGATTTTCAGTGCCTTAGATCTCAGTAAATATTTGTTCAAAGATTAAATAAAGGTAAGGTATAGTTGAAAAGGAGTGCTTCTAAGTCACAACTGCGTGCTTATCTCTACCCTGTAGATTGCAGGTAAATAAGTTTTTATTTTGTTTTACATTTTTTTCTGCTAGAGAAGCTTAATGTAAACTTAAGGACTATGAACTCTTTACAGGTTGCATTTCCACTCAGTGGCCAAAGTAATCAAATGCTATGAGAGTTAGATTATCGACATACAAATAAGAGGAGGATTTTTAAAACATAATCAGAATAGGGGCGCCTGGGTGGCTCATTCGGTTAAGCATCTGCCTTCAGCTCAGGTCGTGACCTCACAGTCCTGGGATCAAACCCCACGTCACCCCACATCAGGCTCACTGCTCAGCAGGGAGTCTGCTTCTCCCTCTGCTCCTCCCCCCTGCTCTGTGTGTGTGCTCTCTCTCTCTCAAATAAAATCTTTTTTTTTTTAAAGATTTTATTTATTTATTTGACAGAGATAGAGAGAGAGAGCACAAGTAGGCAGAGAGGCAGGCAGAGGGAGAGGAGAAGCAGGCTTTCCGCCGAGCAGGGAGCCCGATGCGGGACTCGATCCCAGGACCCTGGGATCACGACCTGAGCTGAAGGCAGCCGCTTAACCAACTGAGCCACCTAGGCGCCCTCTCTCAAATAAAATCTTAAAAAGAAAAAAAATCAGAATAACATGTTCTCTTTTGCTCAGATAGTTGCTGTGGATAAACCTAAAGCCCTAATAAGTCTTCTGAGAAATACAGGAAGTAGAGAAATTTGTTGTATACTTATTGGTGTGTTTAACTGAAGAGAGAAACGTTTTATCAGTGAAATTGTATTTGATTGTAGTTCATTCTCTTAGCTGGTACTGATTGTGGTGTTCTTCCTAAATAAAGGATTTCCCTTTCTAAAGAGTCACAGTAAAAATTTTAAAGGATTTTCTCCAGCTCTCTTTCGGGGAAAGGCAGACTTTCTCAATAAAGGTCCTTTTAGTAAATATCTTAAGTTTTGCAGACCATAAAGTCATTGTCACAACTACCCTGCCAGCATCCATAGACAATATGTAAATGAATGAACATAGCTTACCAACTTTTACTCTCTGTCTTTAGCTAGAGATTTAGACAGTTATTCAACAGAGAAACAGCCAAAATAGGGTTCGAGATGTTATGACTTGAATAATTCTTTCCTTTGTTATTATTTAAGTGACAGTAGGAGATAAACACTCTTTCTTTTAAAGCTCATCAGTATCGATGTTAGGGAGTTTTTTATAGTTTATCTTGTTTTTGTTTTACTTGTGATGTTTAACCATTCATAAATATTTTTTAGGAGAGAAAAAGGAGAAAAAACAGCAGTCAGTAGCAGGGAGCACTGACTCTAAGCCAGTAGATGTTTCTCGTCTGGATCTTCGAGTTGGTTGTATCATCACGGCCAGAAAACACCCTGATGCAGATTCTTTATATGTGGAAGAAGTAGATGTTGGAGAAACAGCCTCAAGAACAGTTGTCAGTGGCCTGGTGAATCATGTTCCTCTTGAACAGGTAATCTGTACAGTTTAAATTACTTTGGCATAGACATCACTTTTTCTTGATGTTTTTCCGTATAATTTTGTATTAGGTGAGCCAATATTGATTAGTTCATTTCATTAATTTTATTTTATTTTATTTTTTTTTTTTTTTAAAGATTTTATTTTTTTTTTGACAGAGAGAGACACAGCGAGAGAAGGAACACAAGCAAGGGGAGTGGGAGAGGGAGAAGCAGGCTTCCCGCAGAGCAAGGAGCCCGATGTGGGGCTCGATCCCAGGACCCTGGGATCATGACCTGAGCCGAAGGCAGATGCTTAACAACTGAGCCACCCAGGCGCCCCTCATTTCATTAATTTTAATAAAATAAATTTCACCAAAAAATTACATTAAAACTACCAAAACTTACAGTAGCATTGTAAGTTGGGATCAAATTCATGAAGGTAGAAAGAAGAAAGATGCATTATTTTTTCTCAGTTTTTAAAATGTTTTTAGTTTGGGGGCGCCTGGGTGGCTCAGTCATTAAGCGTCTGCCTTCGGCTCAGGTCACGATCCCAGAGTCTTGGGATCGAGCCCCGCATCGGGCTCCCTGCTCAGCGGGAAGCCTGCTTCTCCCTCTCCCACTCCCCCTGCTTGTGTTCCCTCTCTAGCCGTGCCTCTCTATCTCAAATAAACAAATAAAATCTTAAAAAAAACAAAAACTAAAACCTTTTTTCCTCTTTGTATAAATTGTGAATGTCCTTACACAAAATCATTCTTTCCCACTCCAGGCAGAAATATTCATCTCTGTGTTTCTATATTTCTTTCTGTATGTAATGTTTGTCACATATTCATTATGTATATCTGTCTTCCTTAAAAGAGATTTTCAGTGCCTTAGATCTCAGTAAATATTTGTTCAAAGATTAAATAAAGGTAAGGTATAGTTGAAAAGGAGTGCTTCTAAGTCACAACTGCGTGCTTATCTCTACCCTGTAGATTGCAGGTAAATAAGTTTTTATTTTGTTTTACATTTTTTTCTGCTAGAGAAGCTTAATGTAAACTTAAGGACTATGAACTCTTTACAGGTTGCATTTCCACTCAGTGGCCAAAGTAATCAAATGCTATGAGAGTTAGATTATCGACATACAAATAAGAGGAGGATTTTTAAAACATAATCAGAATAGGGGCGCCTGGGTGGCTCATTCGGTTAAGCATCTGCCTTCGGCTCAGGTCATGATCCCAGGGTCCTGGGATCGAGCCCCGCATCGGGCTCCCTGCTCAGCGGGAAGCCTGCTTCTCCCCCTCCCCCTCCCCCTGCTTGTGTTCCCTCTCTAGCCGTGCCTCTCTATCAAATAAAAAATCTTTAAAAATAAATAAATAAGTAAAAAATAAAGTAAGAGTAAGAACAAGTCGTCATCGTCGTCTTTTTTTTTTTATAACTCAAGAAATATTTTCATACTTGAAGTAAAAAGAGGAGAGGGCATTATGAAGCTTAAACTTATAATTTTTAATGGTATTTCTTTATCTGTTAAAAACTGGATGTTTTGTATTTTGTTACTTAGGTATTTAAAATATGTGTGTGTATGTGTGTATAGACAGACACACATATGTATTTCCAATGACGGTGGAAAAAATTGGGCAGTAATGATTTTAATTTGGTCTTTCAAGACATCTACAGTAATTTGGAGTTATCTCTTTCCTCTGCTCCGTGGTGCTTTGGAGATACTGCAAAGGCTTTATACTTTAACATTAAAATAGTTCTTTGTTCATTGCCAACTCTTGCTTATTGGCTTTGTGAATGTGGATAAATCCCTACATACATTCATTCATTCATTCATTCATTTCATACTTTCAGATGCAAGTATTTATTGGACACCTGCAGTATACCAGGCACTATTCTAGACAAGGGATGTAGCAGTGAATTAAAATGATAGGTAGGTAGGTAGATAGATAGATTTGTTTAGAAAAAAAAAAAAAATCCTGCCTTTGTGAAGCTCACAACTCTATGGGGGAGTCAGAAGATCATGATACATAGTATATTAAATAGTGGTAAGTATTAAAAGAAAAAGAAAGAATCTAGGAGTTGTTGGAGTTAGGATGATGTCGTTTTGTATAAAGTGGTTAGGGAAGGCATCATAAAGAAAGTGACTTTAAGGTGTAATAAAGAAAGGTCTAAGAAAATGAAGAAAGGTCCTATGTCTCTGGTAGAAGAGTATTTCAGGCAGGTCTAAGTTGGTTATATGCCTGGCATGTTCAAAGAACAGCAGGAAGCAGTGTCATAGCAGAGTAAATAAGGGGGAATGTCATGCAATATGAAATCAGAAATAAGGATACCAAATGATATAGTATCTTATAGATCACTGTAAAGACTAGCTTTTATTCTGAGTGAGATGAAAGCTGTTGGAAAACTGTTGAGCTAAGGAGAAATGTGATCTGCCTCATATATTAATAGGATCATCTGGCTCCTCTGTTGAGGGGAGAAAAATGGAAATGAGATTAGTGAAGAAGTTTTTCTTATCTATAAAAAAAGATAGACTTGGTTCATGTGTGTGCTTTTTTTTTTTTTTTTTTCTGTTTAACATGCATTTTGTGTAGGACCAGGACTTCTTCATAACTACTTATGAAGTTAGGTTCATAAGAAGCCCTGGAGAAAAGAAGCAATTGATCTTGAGCCAGCTCAAATTGGAAAAACTTCTCCTCCTTTAGGCTTCATCTTTTTTGTTCCCATAAGTTGCAGACAGTATCTTCTCTTCCAAAAGCTGTCATTCATAGCCTTAAGCAAATCTATTTATATACACATCTGTATCTAACCTATCAAGGCAGTAATATTAAACATTCTGTAAAGCAGGAGGACTTTGCCCCCACAAATTGCATACTATACTATGTAGGTTTGTGTATTTTTCCAAGGTAAAGGTCCATGGGTATCATCTGATGCCATAACAATTGCACATAGCTAACCCTTTTGTTTTTTCTTATACAAATTTGCTATAACTGTTTTTTCCTAAAGTGGCAATTTAAATTATTTGTATGAAGAAGATGTTATTCATGAAGACGTCTGAAAAGGGGGCCTCCTGAATTTGAGTCTTAGGCCTATTATTATTATTGTTATTATTTTAAATCATAGAATCAATAAATTTGCCATAACATTTGTTTATAAAACCATCTTTTATTTAAAATGTGCCTTTTCTCTTCCCCTGCAGTGATAGTTCTCTTGTATGCCATTTTATTTTAAGCCTATTGAAAGAATATAAACAGTTGTGTTCCTTATTTTTGCTAATTGGGGAAAAAAATTAAGACACTTCAACTTTTGAAGATTAAAGAAATCTTTATTCACTTCTATAACAAATTATAGAAATAGTCCTAAATGTTAATTGCAGTGTACATGATGCTTGAGTAAATGATCAGCAATATTTTTTTTTATATTTGTTATTGAAGTCTGTTTGACTTGCAATGTTATATTAATTTCAGGTGTACAATTGTTTCAGTGATTTAACATTTCTGTGCAATACTCAGTGCTCACCACAATAAGTGTAGTCACCATGCAAAATTACTAAAATATTGACTGTATTTGCTATGCTGTACTCTTCATCTCCATGATTTATTTATTTGATAACTGAAAGCTTGCACCTCTTAATCCCCTTCACTTGTTTTGCCCATCCTCCCATCCACTTCCCTTCTGATTACAAGTTTGTTCTCTGTATTTAAGAGGCTGTTGTTTATTTCTTTTGTGTTTTAGATCCTACATGTAAGTAAAATCATAACAGGATTTCTTTCTCTGACATATTTCACTTAGCATAATACCCTCTAGGTCCATCCATGTTGTCTCACATGGCAAGATTTCATTCTATTTTGTGCCCAAGTAATATTTCATTATATCTATATTTACATTATGTACATTACACACACAAACACACACACACACACTCACCTTTATCCATTCATCTATCTGCGGCAAATACAGAGGTGCATATATCTTTTTTGAATTAGGGTTTTCATTTTCTTTGGGTAAATACCCAGTGGTAGAATTATTGTATCATATGGTATTTCTATTTTCAATTCTTTGAGGAACCTCCATACTGGTTTCCACAGTGGTTGCACTGGTTTATTTACATTTCCATCAACACTGCATGAGAGTTCTTTTTTCTCCACATGCTTGCCAACACTTATTTCTTGGCTTTTTGATAGTAGCAGTTCTGCTTGGTGTGAGGTGATATCTCATTGTGGTTTTGATTTGTATTTCCCTAATGAATAGTGATGTGAGCATTTTTTTCATGTATCTGTTGGCCATCTGTTTGTCGTCTTTGGAAAAATATCTACTCAGACCCTCTGCCCATTTTTAACTGGATTGTTTGTGGGGGTTTTTTTCGTGTCGAATTGTATAAGTTCTTTATATATTTTGGATATTAATCCCTTATGGGATATATCATTTGCAAATGTCTTCTCCCATTCGGTAGATTGTCTTTTTGTTTTGATGATGGTTTCCTTTGTTGTGCAAAAGCTTTTTATTTCGGTATAGTCCCAGTAGTTTAATTTTGCTTTTGTTTCCCTTGCCTGAGGAGACATTATCTAGAAAAATGTTTCTATGGCCTGTGTCAAAGAAATTACTGCTTTTATGGTTTTGGGTCTTAGAGTTAGGTCTTTAATCGATTTGAGTTTATTTTTGTGTATGGTATAAGATAGTGGTCCAGTTTCATTCTTTTGCATGTTCCCAGCACCAAATATTGAAAAAAAAAACCTCTTTTTCCCATTATATATTCTTGCCTCCTTTGTCATAGATTTTCTGGGCTCTTTATTCCATTGATCTATGTCTGTTTTTATATGAAGAAGACACTGTTTTGATTACTACAGCTTTGTAGTGTATCTTGAAATCTGGGATTATACCTACAGTTTTTTTCTTTTTCAGGATTGCTCTGGCTGAGGATATGCTTATGGCTAGAATGACTTTCTTTGATGCCTGTTTCTGACTGGGCAGGGTTTACTTCCAGTGCTGTTAAGGGGCTTGTGAGCTCAGTGGTGGGCCAGCACTCATCTTAGCTGTTTGCAGTTAGCCTCTGCAACAGCTACAGGCATATGAAGGGCAAAGCTTGCTCCCCACGCAGCCTACAAAGAGGTCTTCTTGCAGGAATTGTGGTTATGCTGGTGTGTAGGGTTATCTCCCCTTCTTTTCAGGGCACTAGTCACTTTGGAGTGGTCTAAGCCCTGCCTGCCTGCTGTGTAGGATCTACTTTGGAAGGGCATTTCCTGATGCAGGTAGATTAGGGTACTTGGCTGCAGGGAATGCTGGGGTGGGGGGCATGTGGTGTTGGTAAGTTAGATGAAGAGGGATAGTATTGGCTCCTGCAAGCTTCAGACCATCTAGGGCGCAGAGGGCAAGAAAAATGACGTCTTCTAGCACTCCTTTCTTTCCCAGAGATATTTCTTGTAGATCTCTGCGTCTCTAGCACATCCTAAGATTAGTCAATAAATCTCCTTCACATATACTTCAAGCACTTTCCAAACTGCTGCTTTTGCACTGTGTCTAGTGATGGCTCTTTTAGTGTGGAGACTCGATTTACTGTCACCCCCTGGTTTTCCCAGTTGAGCCCTGCAGATTTTCAAAGTCAGATGTTATGAAGACTCATTTTCCCAGTTTGGGTCCATCTGACACCCTCACTCCTCTGTGTTTGTGATATCCCTCCTGTTTGTGGTTATTTGCCAGGGTTCCTGACTGTGTCTCCACTCTATCTGTCCTTTTCAATGTTGTCTTCTCTCTAGCTGTGGATGATCTATTCTGTCAGTCTTCAGGTTGATTTCAGTTGGTTGCAATAGATGTAGTTATTTCATTGGTGTGTCCATGGGACTAGGTGAGCTCAGGATCCTCCTACTCCGTACCTTCCCAAGAGTGATAGAGTGCCAAGAGTAATTTCTAAACTAAGAAATGGATCTTGCATAGTATTGGAAATGTAGGGAGAAAAAGGATTGTTCATTTATTTTAGTGCTAACACTAAGCTAAATGCTTTACATACATGTTACAATTTAATCCAAGAGTTGGCTTCTTAAATTTGATATCATTTTCCTCATTTTGTGAAGAAAAACAATTCAGCTTCATATAATCTCATTGCTAGTACATGGCAGCTAAATTCAAAACCAAATCTGTTTCAGTCTAAAACTTATTTAACTGAAAAGTCTTGCCTCTGCTCCTTTTAACTATAATGTGCTGTCAGTTTGTGGAATTTTTTTTCATGTTTTTGTATAGCTTCATAACAACAGTAAAAGATTTTGGACACAGAGGCAAAGATACATCTACAAAAATAGAACATTTTATATTTAGCATATTAGATGTACCTTAATGTATTCTAGGTATGATAATCTAAATCTCTGTACCTCTTTAATCACCAATTTATGTTTCACACAGATGCAAAATCGGATGGTGATTTTACTTTGTAACCTGAAACCTGCAAAGATGAGGGGAGTAATATCTCAAGCAATGGTAATGTGTGCTAGTTCACCTGAGAAGGTTGAAATCTTGGCACCTCCTAATGGGTCTGTTCCTGGAGACAGAATTGTTTTTGATGCTTTTCCTGGTAAGTATTAGTCATTATTTAAAACAATTTGGGAACCATTGTTTTCTTCTAATGTTTAGTTTAGAATCAGTCTTGTGTATGACTCCAAGGCTTTACCTTAAGTGACCATTATTATTGAGATTTTATTATTGAGTTTCTTCAGATTGGTTCGAGATGGTACATTAAACACAACCATCTAACCATCACCCTCCCAATGAATGCACACATTGCATAAAATAGTAGAGTTTGCTTTAGGGAAAATGCTAATAATACTTACATAGCAGAAGAGTGTGATATGGATAGAGAACTAATTAATGTGCTGCAGAGTCTTTGAAGCTATAAATTATCTCAGACTGTAGCACAGAAAAACGAAAAGTTCATACATGGGAAAGAAATGTATAATTCTCAAAGTCCATCTAATAATGTACTTGCATATGCTGTTACTTGACTTTAGGATACAGAGGAAAAACTCTGAGTTAAAACTTTTATTTATTGTAATAATCTCAAAGGAAGTTGCTTTTCATTTTGCTTGTTTTCTCCAGTAAAATGCTTCTGAGACAGATGAAGCTTCATAATGTGTGAAAAAGTTTCTTCAAATAGGTCTTTGAAGCAAAAGAGAATTTGTCAGATACAGAATAACTATTTCCTTCATAAAAGGAAGTGGAAGTAGTTAGAAATCAAAAGATTGCATTTACTTAAAGGATGTTCATTTGACTAGAGTAATGGGGAAAGTAGAAATAAATTAGGCTAACAGGGAGAATCAGGTCTAAAAGTCAGAATTGATTTGGAGACATATTTACAGAAACAGCTGAGTTTTAATAGCATAGCAAGGCTGATGTGATTAGATGGGCCTGCTTTTTTAATCCTATGTTAACTGTATTATGTTTGATAAAATATTAGGATATGAAGGATTTTAACATTGGACTAAGATAGAAAATATGTATGAAAGCATGGGTTAATTTTCTTGAAATTCAGCTCCCCCCTCCTAATCAAAAGTAGACTAATCTAAAAAACACAGAGATTGTTGAGCAAGTATCTGTGACTTTGGATGTATATGTCTTGAACCTTGGTAGATTGGAAAGCATAATGGTCTGTGCTCTAAGACTCTTTCTTGTTGAACTAGGTTTTGGGAAAATCCCATTTAGAATCGTTCCTTAAAGCAGCATGATGGCTTTTGATTCTAGGAGCAAATGATTGCCACTCTGCTACCACAGTATCAAAACACTTCCCCAAACCTCACACTTGGGGGTAAATCATCATTTGTATACCTGACAAACCTGAAATTCTATTGAGAAGTCTTACTCACTAAATTGGACTAGAACGACAATAAAAGTAAACTTTTAAGATTCAGCATACATTTTTAAAAAAGGAAATTCTGTTTACCCTTCCAAGTTAACATTTGCCTTCCTTTCTAAAATTTAAACACTTAAGATTTAGTATGTTTTCTTTACGTTTTATTTTCTGATGTAAATTGTAGAGTTACATGTTTAGAACTGGAAGAAATCATCTACTTTAACCCACTATTTTACAGATTTGGTTTGAGGCCCAACAAAACTTAGCTACTTGCTTAAGGTTATATAGAGTTTAGTGAAGGGATCAAACAATAAATGTGCTGGAATTTCTAATACTGTAGAATTTTTGTTTGTTGATTGTTGCTTGCTGTGAATTAATATGGACTATTTCATTAGTGAAGGCTTATAATTCATTGCCTTATCTCAAAGAATTAACAGGTACTATTTCAGCACTTGAATCAGGTTTACCTGAATGCTACTGTTGAGTAAATTGCAAGATTTTCTTTAGTCAATGACTTAGCATTAGAGATGCTAATAGCCCCATATGAATTTCTTGTCACTATATTCTTTAATCTGTCCGTTCAGCTCTTTGTGTGTTTATATTTACATTGTTCCAAAGTCTGATATTTCCTGCAAATTCAGTTTCCCCTTGTGCCTCAGCACATGGATTTGTGGAGAAGGTAAGAAAAATAGTTGTAAAGTGAAAGAAGCAAAAACTTAACCTTTAAAATAGCCCATGAGGTTATTTTCTTATCACTTGTAATAGCTTAACCAAGGTGAACAGCATCAAGTAATTGATAAATTTTAGGATGTGAGGTCTGTTAATGCTCATCTTGCTTGTGCTTCCACATCAGTTGCTTCTGTAGCAATAAATCTGAAAGGAGATAACAGTTAATACTACACAACAGGCCATTACTTTCACTGTTTTTTTCTTTTTCCAGTGAGAGCCATGGTTTATCAGTGCTTTATTTTTCAGCATCTGTTTTACATTTTAAAGCTTAAGGTGTCTGCTGGTACATTTTGATGTTCACTTGATGTGCCCAGTGTCTGGAAACTTACATTTCATGTTACATAAAGTGTGGTATAGAAATTGCATTTGGGGCTCAAACCTTTGAAGTGCTATTTGGCTTTGAAAAGGCTTTTACCCTAACAACTATTTATTCCAACTACAAATCCAAAAAAGTACATAGAGTTTAGAAGATGCCAAATAATATTTTTATAACAATGGATAGAAACCCTCACCACCCAGTACTTTTTAAATTTTCAGTGTGTGGAGCTATGCATTTTAGTATTTGAATGTGGTAACTACTCCCAAAAGCACCAAGCAAAAATAGCATGAAAATAATATAGCCAGAAGACAATGGCAGCGACAGCCACTTTTTGACGGTGCACTGTTTTGTCTAGTAATAAGTGAGAATTTGTATTCAGACTTTTAACTTCCAAGATCATGCTTATTTCTATTGATATTGTCTTATTAATGTAATTAATGGTTAATTACAAAGCATATATGATATATGCAGGTGTTAAATTTTTCGATCCATTTATTATTAAATATATTTAAATTTGATTTTTCAAACTTGTCTATATTTGATTCTTCTCTCCAAAACCCATTTCAATCGGGTTTCTCTGCTCACTGTTTTCCCAGAACTATTCTGATCAAGATCATGAATTAATCTCTGTAGCTAAATATCCATGGCTGGTTTTTAGTCTTTTTCTTAACTAACTAGGTTTCTGGCACCACATTCTCCTGGCGGTCCCCTCATTGGCTGCCCTTCTTATCTCCTTTGCTGATTCTTCCTCACCTCCCTGACCTCTTAACATTCAAGTATCCCAGACCTTGGTCTTTGCCCTCTTCTCTTTCTTTCCACACTTGGCCTCTTCTGTTTTCCTTTCCATGTTCATTTTTTTTGGCCATTTTATTCAGTCATTTATCTGGCTGCCTACTAGACTTTTTCACTAACATATACCAAGGAAGAATACATATCCCCATCTTTCCCCTAGAATTCCCTTTTTCCATAGTATTTCCCATCTTATCTGACAGGAACTCCATTCTCTCAACTTCTTTTTATTTTCTCACATATCTTCTTCAGAAAATCCGAGTACTTGTACCTTTTGAGCATATCTAGAATCATTCTCATCTACACCACTACGACTTGGGTCTTTGTGCCAACATCTCTTGTTGGGAAGTCAAAACCTTCTAAATGATCTCCCTTGCCCTTCTTCCATTTATTTTCAATGATAGCAGGGAGATTGATGTAAGTGAGATTGTATTACTCCTCTGCTCACAACTATTAAAAAGCTTTTCATTAGACCCAGAGTGTAAGCCCAGGTTCTTAGAATGGCTTCCCATTATCTCCATTTACCTCATGTACACCACAAACCTTCATTGATCACTCCAGTTGAGCCATTGGCTCTTTCCCCAATTAGCTACATGACTTGGTTCCTCTTCTATTGAAGTCTTTTAAATGTTATCTTTTTTGTTTTTTCTTCAAAACACTTATCATCATCTAATATACTATACATTATTTATTATTATCTGCCCACACAGAAATGTAAGCATCATGAAATCAAGATTTCTGGGTTTTTTTGTGGTAGTGGTTATTCACTGCTATATTCCTAGCATCTAGAAAAATGCATGGCATAGAGTAGGAACTCAATAAATTGGTTAATGAATAAACAGAAAGAAACGTACTAGTAAAAGATGTTAAGAAAACCAATAACACCCCCCCGCCCCCAGTATTTGGAGAACAGACCTGAGCATCTGCCTTTGTTATTGTCAAGATTATTCCTCAAACCACCAAACCACTTTTCTCTGTTGATTAGCTTTGTAAAATTAATTCACTTTTTTCTTTTAGATTTTATTTCTTTATCTGAGAGAAAAAGAGAGAGCACAAGTGGGGGGAGGGGCAGAGGGAGAAGGACAAGCAGACTCCCCGCTGAGCAGGAGCCTAGCACAGGGCTCAATCCTAGAGATCATGACCTGAGCGGAAGTTAGACACTTAACTGACTGAGCCACTCAGGCACCCCAAATTAATTGACTTTTATTTGCAAAGTTATACTTTAGTTTTTGTGCCATAGTTACAATTTTTGGCAATAGTTACAATTATTATATCTCAAAAACTCAGTTAATTAAACATAAAATAATTCTGTTAGTGCTAGGCTTTTTATGGACATGGCAGATATCAAAGAGAAGCTGATAATCAATGAGCATTCTGTGTAAAAGAATGGCCTAATTAAAATGAAGTTTCTGGTTCTTATTCCAGACTTGTGAATGCCTGGGACTTTGGAATTTGGATTTATTGCTTTTGTAGGCTTTAAATTCTAAGAAGGTGGTCATAGCTTTTTACATCTGTACAAACTTCTCTCTGAACTATTTCCTATTGCCTGTGTGCTTTGTTTACAATGAGTTGGCCTAAAATAGTCTCTGAAAGATTAGTCTCTTACATTATGTGTAACTATTTCCAAATGGTGATTATTGGCATGTGTTTAGCAATTTCAGAGTTTCTGCAGTTTTTAGGTTTAAGAACTTTTATTGATATCATTTAACTTCTTTGGCTAACCATGTCAAAAAGGAAAAAAAAATAGGAAAGTAAGATTAGAAGTACATAATACACAGGAATGATGGAAGACTTCTCTCGACAGTGTAGTTCATTAAAAAGCAATTGTTTAGGGATGGCTGGGTGGTTCAGTCGGTTCAGCATCTGCCTTCGGCTCTGCTCATGATCCCAGGGTTCTGGGATCGAGTCCCGCATCAGGCTCCCTGCTCAGCAGGGAGCCTGCTTCTCCCTCTCACACTCCCCCTGCTTGTGTTCCCTCTCTAACAGTCTCTCTCTCTCTGTCAAATAAAAAAATAAAATCTTTAAAAAAATTGTTTAAGATATTAGGTATGTTTTTCATGGCAGGTGATTTAAACTTGCATTTCAAAACTAGCTTTATACCCTACCAAGTAGTATATTATTGAGAAACATTTTGAGTAAGCCAGAAAGTTAACACTGCATCCAAGACTTTTCAACTCTAATTTATATTCAGTTATCATAATGTGACAAGTTCTAATTATAATCTCAATTTTATTTTCCTAAATCATATTTCGTTTATTGAATAAAGTTTCACAACTACATTCAGAGTGTTCAGGTATTGAGTCTGGTGTGTTGAAAGCAACAGTCAAGCTTTAGAGGTTCCTCTTAGTAGTTTCTAGTTTATATTTAGTTCAAGTCTTTGTTCCTGGAAAATTATTAGTCTAGTTAAGAAGTTAAAGCTTCAGATCTTGACTCCACAGTGCTGGGTGACCTGGGAACCTTTCTCAGGCTTATCTTTTTTATCTATAAGGAGTTTTTAATGTTATCTCTTTTGTGTGGGTTCTGTGAGGTTTAACTTTTGAAACACTTAGCTACCTGCCTGATATTTTAAGTTCTTAGCTTTAACCTTTGTGCCTCAATTTCCTCATCTGTAAAATGGGGGTAATTAATAGTATTTGTGTACTGAGAGGATTGAATGAGTAAATATATGTAAAGAAAGCACTTAGTGTACTGACGGCCCATAGTAAGCACTATGTGTTATGTATTATGAATATTATTTTCTATACGTGTCAATGTATTCCTAGATCTGAGAAGCTTAGTTTTGTGCTGCACACAGTTTTTTTGTGTTTGGGGCTTATGTCTGCATTTATCAAGGACCCACACAATCTATACTCTTGATAAGAAGCTTTCACACAAATCTGGGATGCTCTGCTTCTTGAATTAATCCATTATCACTTGGCAGTATCTTTTTGAGGGGTGACCGGGGGAATTCAGAGTTAGTACTCAGGCCTACCTGAATAGTATCTCTGCCTCCAGCTTTCTAGAATTCTGGAATGCCCACTTCCCCACATCATCTGTGTATAAGCAAAGTAGGATTATGTTTGTAGACTAAGGAATAGTTTAGAAACAAAAAATAAAAATCTTGTGGATACTTCATATATTGATATTTTTTCTATTCTGTTTATTAGTTCTCTGTTGTCCAATCAAATGCTCTTAAAAGAATAAGAGAAATCCTTATCTTTTATACTAGTCTTTCAGTTTTAGATTCATTGTATGTTCTTCTGGAATAGATATATCATTCAATTAACTATTCTGTCATCTCTGAAAGCATGCATATCAGAGGACAGTTTTGTATGTTCTGGCCAGTTTCATGGGCAGTTTCTGAAGAGCTAATAAAGAACAAAACCACTGTGGCCAACCAATTTACTCAGTTTTGTTGTTCCTGTTGTATGAGTGGAGAATAAAAACCAGTGTAGGTAATAAGATGTAATCAGAATATAAAATATAATTAGTTCCAGTAACGTTAAAGATTCTTTTTAAAGTAATTCCAGAAGATTTGAACTTGGTAGTCACTTTAGAAAAGATCTAGAAAGTTATATTTTCTATCATTACTGAATTAGATTTCAGAAAAACTTTTTATTACCCTTCGGGAGAACAATTCTTATTTCACACTAATGCTTAAGAGATATGTTACTTTTCTTCATTGTTTCTTGAACTGATTCTTTATTCCAAATGATGATTGAACATCCCCCCAGCTACTAAAATGATGTTATATTAAACTTTACTTTCTACTTCCTTATCAGTCATTAAATAGAGGGATTGTTTGGTATATTGGTGGCCCTTAAGTAGACCAGATGTATTCTACAATATATTTGTCTTTTGTTGATTATAAACTTCTAGTGTGGGCTACGGTAGAGAAGATGGGTTATTATCCACATGTAAGAATGTTACTTCTTTTCTAAAGAACAGTTTATCAGGAGGCAAGATGCTATGCTAGCAGAACAAGGGTTTTGGTGTTAAATCGTAATTTGTTGATCATGTAACTTTGAGCAGCTTATCTTCTCTGAACACCAGTTTCCTTATATTTAAAATTAGAGTGTTGTGTGCATTGTATGCAACAGTATATGTTTCTTGTGCTTAGCAAATGCTTGTCCTTGTCTCCTTACTAACCCTTTCTATCTCTTTCCATCTCACCAAGTGGAATGGGCAGAAAATGAAACCCAAAGTAGTTATTATATTTAGTTAGATAATCTCGACATTTAATCCATTCTCCAGTATCAGTAAGAAATCTTTAAGCACTTTGGCAGCCATCTCATCGTTTATTTTGTACATTGAAACAGAGTAAAGCAGAAGCTGTGCCACATATAAAAATATAACACATCAAATTATGCTCTTATCTCTTCACAGTTTTTCTGTGTATATAGTGACAAAATGAGTATCTTATATTTTTGTTTTAATTTGGGGAAAATAATTTGGGGAATAAATTCTTTTAGCTGTATTACCTGCAAAAATATTTCTTATAAGAGTAAAAAATAATCTTTCACATTTGTAGGGAAATGACAAAATATTTGCGTATGTACATATTTAGTTTTAACAAAGCAACTTGTACACTTTCAATGTTTAAAACTGAGCACCCATCTTTCCAGTGAAACAAACAAAAACATTTTTTAATAAACAAAATTACAATAGAGATTATCAATTCTAAACAAGATCCTACAGGTTCTGCTGATCCTCCCATCAGTGGGGCTCAAGTCATCATTAGGAGAGAATTTTATTTTAAAAAAGTCATCTTAAACTGCAAGGGTGTCCGTTAAACATCACAATTAAACATATCAAAGGAGAAGCCGTTAGGAAATGACAAATTATTTTATTTTACCAATCAGAAATATAAACTGTTGACATCATAAAATAAATGTTAAAAGTAAGTGTTAAAATTCTGATCAGGTCTAAAGATCAGAAAGTGTTGCCTAGACAATTCACTAGAAATCTCTATGGATAATTTATTTAATATGGTAGCTATGTAACTTCTTTTTCCCCCCCCCCCAATAGGAGAACCTGACAAGGAGCTGAATCCTAAGAAGAAGATTTGGGAGCAGATCCAGCCTGATCTCTTTACTAATGATGAGTGTGTAGCTACATACAAAGGAGCTCCCTTTGAGGTGAAAGGGAAGGGAGTGTGTAGGGCTCAAACTATGACCAACAGTGGAATAAAATAAAATACTTCATTTACTGAACTACATTTGAGAAAACTTCAATAACAATAAAAAGAAATATATTTGTCACTTGTACCTAAAATATAACTGGCTTTATTGTGTGTTATTTCTCTTGCAGACTTGACTAGTCTTTTAATCAGGTATATATTGTTTTTAATCGGTTAGAGAAACACTACATTTTTACATACGGTTTTTGCTCCTTTATAACATAGGAAGGAAATCACCTATGTTTTGTGATGATTTATTTTTTAGCAGGGATATTGGTTAGCAGATTGTTTTTCTTGATACATTTAGATAACTTGAACTAAACATTTAGTTTCCTATTGGAAGCACATGGTACATGAAATTTTAAGCCCTTGGATTTTTAGTATATTGTGAATCTGTATTATAAATGTCTTCTCCTCTTCAGAAATGACAAGTTAGAATTTTTGTCAAGCTTATTAACTGGTCATATTATAATAATACTGAAAATGACCAACGGTCATAAAAGCTAAGAGACGTGCCATTTGAACATTATTGCTATTGCTTACCAAAGTAATCAGACCTGTATACTTAAGGTGACTTTCTTAAAAGAATGAAATTTTCCACTGTGTACTGAACTTTTTCTTTCCATTTGGCAAAATAGTAATAAATTTCGACTAACTATAAAGAAGAAATATATTGCAAAGTGTTGCCAGTGCAGTTTCCAATAAATTGTTAAAAGCAGCAGTCTACTTTTTTTTATTCTAGATGATTATAAAGATTCTTTGGCTACCTAATTAAAGATTATTTGTAGGTTATTTTAGAGCATTTAAGATCGATATATTTTGCTTTTTCATGTACTATCATACTATTAGTATATTAAAAGAAATTGTTATCAAAGTCAATGTACATATATATTAAGGTGTCAAATGCCTATTTTTCACTCATCTTAACAGATATTGTAGAACAATGAAAATTAACTTAGGAATTAGGAGCTTTCAAGTTCACCAGCCTTGAAATGATGACTGATGATTTGGGCTACCGAAAAGAAATGGATCTGTGGAGGTAGGAGTGTAGATACTGTTTAAAAGAAAAATTGCACAATATTCCAGCTGTTTATAGCCTCTAATGGAGAAACAAAACAAAAAAATTTAAAACCCTGCATGCCAGAGTCTAAAAGGTATAATTAAATTTTGTTTATTGAAGTCCATGGAGTTCTGGTAGGCCAGTTTTATCTTCTTTCTGAAAAACTAACAGAGCATCAATAACAACTGTTGACAACTAAACACGAATGTCAGAAGTTATTTTGTACTGAGGATATATTATTCTTTTGGAAATAAGACTATGACAAAGTCTTGTGTTTCTTTATTTTCCAATTTTTCCCAATTATATTTAATTGGGAAAAATTGGAAAATTATATTAAATTTCTTTAAATTAAAAAATGTTTCGACTACTTAGGTAGTTGAAATATTTATTCCCAATTTTTATTTATTTATTTTTAAGATTTTTTTTTTTTTTTTTTTTTGTTTGAGAGAAAGAGGGAGATCACAAGCAGGGGAGGAGGACAGAGGGAGAAGCTGACTTAGCTCTGAGCAGGGAGCCCAATGCGGGACTCATCCTAGGACCCTGGGGTCATGACCCGAGCCAAAGGCAGACAGAATTAACTGACTGAACCACCCAGGCGCCCAATTCCCAATTTTTAAAGTTACATAAAGCATTACTCAATAAAGTTATCAATGCAGCTCCATTATTATTCATTGTTTTTATAGAAAAATAATTGTTTGATTTGTATTGCTGGGATGAGAGAGCTCTTACGGAATTAACAACAAAAATGGCATTGTTCGTCAACAAGATATAAACTTTTTGGCTTTGACTGGTATTCAGCCCTTTAAAGATTTCAACAGTAGGAGATGGTGTTAGGTCACAGCCTAAACAGTTGGTACCTCTTGACTTCTATTTATGTTTTGTGAACTAAACCAGGAAAAAAAAAGTTGACCCTCCCCCAAGATGCTTTCTTATGCAAGGTTGGCGTACTATCTTATGCAAGGTTGGCGTACTATCTTACAGTGAATGTTGGGAGTACTAACTTTCTTATATTTAGAAATTCCATGTGTACTATTCTTTTGAGATGAGTCATTTTCAGGACCTGTTGATTTTAATATAAAATTGAAAGTTTTTTCCCCTGCCTTGCTCTTACCAAGAACATTAAGTACTATATGGATACAAGAACATTAAGTGCCCACCAAACAGATACTTTGTTGTTGCTTTTTAAAAATATCTAAATTCCTATTTAGACTAAAATATTCAGAGTAACTCCTGGAAGTTTAATAGCATGTCAACAAGATAGAGGGTGTGGATAGGGCCCTGTAGAGCAACATTAGTGACTTTAACCAGGTTTCAGAGTCTTTGCCTTGGCTTTGCAGGTTGAAAAACCTGCATTTGTAGATGACTCTCAGAGATGCTAATATATCCATAGAGTTTAGTATTGGTTGTGAAGCCAAATTACCTAGTTTTGATTCCTGGCTCTACAACTTAAATGTGTGTGTGAGCTTGGGCAACTGCTTAGCCTTTATATACTTTACTCCCCTCGTTTAAGATGGGTATAATAAAGTACTTATCTCAGAGTTATGTAGGTTGTGGACTTAGTACCCACAGAATACTTAAAACAATTTCTAGGATATAATATATATTATTTTAATACCCATTCATGGTAGGGATGCTCCTTTTCCAGAAACTAGTGTTCTTGAGATTTCCTGAGAAGTTGAATTCTTGTTCAGAACATTACATAGTGTATATGAAGCCCCAGGAGGCTGTGGCCCTGTTTCTCAGTAGACCTGATTGTCCCTCTGTACCAGATGTAGTATCTCTTCCCTCGCTGGAGATGTTCCTTACTGCATTACTGAAATTTTCTCTTATCCACGTGCTCCCACTGAAGTCTTATTTAGATATTTAGATACTGCCCATCCCTGTTCATTGATGCCCTTTGACTGGTTTAGTAGTAATGATAGTTTTAAAAAGTTTTGCAATTTTCTTTTTTTTTTTTAAGATTTTATTTATTTATTTGAGAGAGAGAGAGAGGGAGAGAGCATGAACAGGGGGAGAGGCAGAGGGAGAAGCAGACTTCCTGCTGAACAGGGAGCCTGACGTGGGGCTCAATCCCAGAACCCTGGAATCACAGCCTGAGCTGAAGGCAGATGCTTAACTGAGCCACCCAGTTTTATAATTTTCTTAGACCAGGAAGACAATATTTCTCACTGTTGTGTTTTTAGTTTAATATAATTCTATTTTTAAGTTCTTGGTCAGTAGGGAAGCACGTCACTCTTTTTTTTTTTTTTTTTAATATTTATTTATCCATGAGAGACAGAGAGAAAGGGAAGCAGAGGCAGAGGGAGAAGGAGGCTCCCCACTGAGCAGGGAGCCCAGTGGTGGGGCTCGATCCCAGGACCCCGGGACCACATCCCGAGCTAAAGGCAGATGCCCAACCGACTGGGAGTTCGCTCTTGAGTTTAACAGGAGTATTAAAGGGACGTGAGTATACCTCAGCTTTCCAGAGAAGTTTATATGTTATGCCTTTAAAAATATAAAAAGAACAGAAGTACTCAGTATTAACTGTGTACTTTAGCTACATAAATTGTGACACAAGTTCTGGTTCTAAGCGTTTTTGCAACAGTGTGAAGACTAAAACTTTTATCACCAAGATACCAAATAAAAACTAGGGAGGAAAATTAATGTAACTCAACTAACAATAATACTACAAATTGCTCTCCTCTGCAGAAAGCTTTACTCTCCAAAATTTCAATTGAGGAATAAACCATGCCCTTCAACAAAAGTTAGGGAGATGTATTAATAATACTTCTCTGCTCTCGTGGATTTTATTATAGGATTATTATTAAGATATGTAGTGCTCTATAGCTAACAAGTACTTTTACACATCTTACCTATTTCTTAACTCCATAGAATTAGACCAGCCATTTCATTTTACCCCAGAGAACCAACAGAAAAGTTAAAAAAGTACCTGTGCTAAGGTATAACTAGCTGAAACCTAGATCTTCTTCCAACTCTTAGTAATCCTTTGCTCTTCTCCATTACAATACACTTTCTTCCATGTCAGTTAAATGTCGTATGGTTTCTTTTATTTGGGTGAGAAGCAACTTCTTTGTTTAAATTTTAGGGAAAGATAGTGATAAAGTCCCTAAACTCTAGTAGTTCATGTAAGGAGATTAGGATGACTCCATTAGTGGAGTATTTTAAGAGATTCTAAAGGTAGAGGCAAGATCGTTAAATATAAAGATAATTTATCAACTTTTTTCTTTTTGTTGCAGAAGTACTCAGGAAAAACCTCTTGGTAAAACCAGGCTGCTGCTGCTGGCAGCAGTTGCCTTTTTAAGTAATGCACTGTTAAGGGCACTGATCTGACAGTCCATCCCAAAACCCAACCTGTGAGAGAGGTCGCTAAGTTCCAGATAGATAGATAGATAGATAGATAGTCAATATGTATTTATTTAATCTAGGAGCAATTCTGTAGTGAGGCCTCATTTGCAGTACTACTTGGATGATAACCCCAAAATGTGCAATAATAATGAAAAGAAGGATAGCTGCTCATGGCTAATATGCCTCTATACAAAACCAGATCTTCAGATACCAACTTGTTGGAATAGAAAAGAGTGACTTACACATTCTTGCTTACTGTACTTTTTATAGTTATGGTTTTTCCTTTGGATAAGTCTTGGCAGAGGTAATTCATAGGGGTATAACTCCAAAAAAAATTTGGAAAAAGGACCCAGAACAATGAAATAATTGCTGGTTTGAAAGTGAGCCATCTGGAATTTCAGAGGGTGAATTAATTATTGTACATTATATTTTTTCACCCTTATGTATTCCCTTGTTTATTTTTTTCCTTCCCCTTCCTTACTCCCACCCCCCCCCAATACAGTATTCCCAGTCTCTGGATTTTTGAGTAAAATATGTGTGTAAGTGTTATTTTATGTCTTCATCAACATATTTCCTATCTGGCAGGCTATTGTTCTTAGCAACAGCAGCAGAAACAAGCCTGGGACTCAATAACTGCAAGAAATCCTTTTTAATGAAGGGGATAGCTACTCTTCTTGCCTTTCCCATTGCTA